AGACCCTGGTTCGCTGACCTTGTGAACCTCTCCCGTTCTCCCCCATGGAGGATTCCATCGGATCGCGTATCTCTCCACCAGGGGTTCTACGACACCCGGAACCCCAATGGCTACAGTTAGCTGCCTGACACTTGAACACCGGATCATGACCCAGGAGTCGTTCTCGGCTAGAGCGATTTCCATGATTCAGGCATCTCGCTGGCCGGCGACCAATCGCATCTATGACTCCACATGGAGGAATTTCTGCCATTGGTGCAAAAAGCGGCAATTGGATATCTCGGACTTGACAATTCCACAGATCTTAGAATACTTCCTAGACAGCCTTGATAAGGGCTTAGCCCCTAATACCATCCGTAGGCAGGTTGCGGCCCTATCAACCTTACTTACCTGTGCCAATTCAGTCCCTTTGGCCCAGCATCCCAAGATACGCGCCTTTCTCAAGGGCGCCACCAACACTAAGCCACCCGTGGTACACAGGTATACCTCTTGGAAATTACCTTGGGTCCTACGGGCCCTCATCCGACTGCCGTTTGAGCCTCTCACAACTAGTGCTCTACAGTCCTTATCCCACAAGGTCGCCTTCCTGGTCGCCATCACGTCAGCCAGGCGCATTTCTGAGCTGGCTGCACTTTCTTTTTTTTCAAACAAATTTTATTGGTTTTTTAATTTTTACATCAGAATGCTCACGAAAACACCGTGGTGAAGGGGAAATCAATCATCCAAAAACAAAATCATACATATATAACTGAAGTTAGTACATTAAAGATTTCCCTCTCTATTTCCCTCACATGATATAACAAATTTAGTTTAATCCATTTCTTCATAAAATTCAGTCAGTCCAAAAAATCATCATCCTGCTTTTAAGCTTCACTAATTTCAATTGACATATTGAAATTCATCTTAAATAAACATATTAATAAAACTTCGGGTATCTCTTCTACAACATACATAGTATTCCAACAATAACATTCTAATATTTTCACATATATTCCATTTCTTAATTTAATTGGTTATTGGTTAATACCCTTTCTTCTCTTATCGTAAACTCTCTAGTTCTTCTATTACAAAGTAATTTTCTATATAACCAGAATAAAAAATAAACATTTCAACCCATTAAATAAAGTTTAAATCTCAACCAAAATAATTATCATGTCTAAAACAAACATATCATTACACAAATTATCATTTTACTAATTTCACATACTCAGTTAATTGTCAAATCAATCCGAATCTCTAAAGCCTTTTTGACCTAATAAGTGAGATTTTAAATCACATTTTTAAATCTAACTCTGGCTTTTTTTCTGTGCCAAACTGGTTTCCATGATGAGCTGGCTGCACTTTCGATCAGGGATGACCTCTGTATCTTCCACCGGGACCGGGTGGCCCTTCGATTGGATCCCACATTCGTGCCGAAGGTCAACTCTCTTTTTCATAGGGCCCAGGAGTTTGTTTTGCCGGATTTTTGTCCTAATCCTTCCCATGACTTGGAGCGGCAGTGGCACACGCTGGATGTCCGCAGGGCACTACACCAATACATCAAGGGAACGGCGTCCTTTTGCAGGTCTGAGGCCCTCTTCGTTTCTTTTCACCCTGCCTCTCTGGGACAGAAGGTGTCTGCCTCCACTATAGGCAGGTGGATCAGGGCTTGCATTGCGGAGGCATACCAGTCGTTTTCCCTGCCAGCTCCAAGTCATGTCACGGCTCATTCCACTTGCAGTGCTGCGACCTCTGCTGCATGGGCTACTCAGGCGTCCATTGAAGAAATTTGTAGGGACGCGACATGGTCTTCGCCTTCCCCATTTGTTAGACATTATAAAATAGACCGCTTTGCTTCTGCGGATGCCTCCTTTGGTCGGAGGGTCCTTCAGCAGGTGGTGTCTGGGGATGTGGACCCGGCCTTGTCTGTTTCCCTCCCATTGGGACAGTGAGGCTTTGGTATGTCCCATTGGTGGATTCTCCATCTCCTGTGTTGGAGAAGGGGCGTTGTCTTACCTGAACGCCTTTTCTCAGCACGGAGATGGAGAATCCACTCCCACCCCTTAGGGTACGTAAGGCCAGGGTTAGGGTCTGAGAGCCAACACCTTCAGACTGTTGTCAGCTGCTTTCGCCCTCGTCCAGATTGGGTTCTCCTAGCCCAGCAGGGGGCGTGACAAGTTTGGCTGACTTGGTCTCAAGGGCAGGAAGACAGAGCAAACCCATTGGTGAATTCTCCATCTACGTGCTGAGAAAAGGCGTTCAGGTAAGACAACACCCCTTTCCATTAAAATACTAATTAAAGCAGAACAGAAAACAGGAACAATCAACTTAGTATGAAAAGATAAAAAATGCATGAATTAATTATGTCTGAAAATAGACTGTACACATTTGACATTTTATTAGGGAATTGTTCTATTAAAAATAAGGTATAAGTAAGGGATTTGGACAAGAAAGGCAAAGATGGTTTAATAGATAGAATAGGTAATTGACAGTTTAACAAATGGATTTATTTTAAATACTCATATAGATCTATCTTCTTTTACTGGGGAAAAACTATAGATTCAATTTAGTGGTGTATTCCCTTTTTGTGTGTGTATTTTCAAGTTATTGGGTTCAAGTGACTATCTGGACAAGTCCCTGCTGGTTTTTTGACAACATTTTCAGAAGTGTCCCAAAGGTGTTTTTTTCAAATCCCAAAAAAGACCCAACAGGAGCTCCTCCATAGCAGACAAAGAAGAGAACAACAAACAAAGCAACATTGTTATTCCATACATTGAAGGAATATCTGAAAAAGCTCAGAAAGATTTTCATCCAACACAATATACATGCACACTTTAAACCCAAAGTACACTAAGGCAGAAGCTTGTCCACCACAAGGATAAAACACCTAGACCAGGTGTTCCCAACCGGGGATGCTTGCACCCCCTGGGGGTGTGAGATGATTATTCCAAAGGGTGCGAAAACTCGAGTTTTCAAAATTATAATGTATATGCATAATTCGTTGGTGTTATTTCAAACTTTTGTAACAGGTGCGAGAATATATCAGAAACTGAAAAATATCTGGAAAATACGGCTTGAAGCTTAACACCTAAAAAACCAAGATCATGGTCGTCAGCACACAACCCCGTTAATTTACTACCAATAAATTCAGAAGGAATACCATTAGAAAAAGTTGAAAGGATCACGCACCTCGGTTCTAATTTACATGAAAGCTGGGACATGACCACTGAAGTAAAGACAAGGATAGAGAAAGCTCGAACAGCATTCTTCAGAATGAAAAAGGTCTTCTGCAGTCACGAGATAAGCCTAAGATTGAAAATCAGGCTTGTCAGATGTTATATTTTTTCTATCTTGCTCTATGGAGTAGAGAGTTGGTCTCTGACAGAAGGCCACCTGAAGAGACTAGAAGCATTTGAAATGTGGATTTACAGGTGGCTGTTACGTATAAGCTGGCTTGACAAGATCAGAAATTAAATGATAAGCCGCCTGGGAAAGCCAAGGGAAATCATCAAAACAATTAAAAAACAAAAGTTAGAATATTTCAGATATATGATACGACACCTAGAAAAATACGGCATACTCCATTTAATCCTCCAGGGAAAGATTGAAGGCAAACGAGGTCCAGGCAGAAGAAGAACATCATGGCTTCAAAATCTAAGGGACTGGTTTGGACAAAACTCAGCAGCACTTTTTTGTGCAGCTGCTGATAAAAACAGGATCGCCAACATGATCACAACGTCCGATAATGGATATGGCACAAGAAGAAGTTCTAGGGGTGCAGGGTATAGAAAAGGTTGGGAGCTACTGAGCAATGTGATATATGCAGTACAATACATGTATAGAGACATGTATAGATCTATACATTGGAAAAACAAATGCATGGCACTACATAGAAGAAACCCATCAGGACAAGATTCAGCCGTCCATCTTCATTTAAAAGACAAAGGTCACTGTTTTGAAGCAGCCAAATCCCCATTCTGGATAAAGAGCACTGCTGGTTTCAAAGAGGCTAGCTACATTAAGATTGAACAGTTCTCTCTCAACAGTGGGGGAGGGATACGATACCACCTATGTCATGTTTACAACACAGTCCTATTAGCAGTTCCAAGAAAGTTCCGCACCCATCTCCACTATTCAGGTGACCCTGATGGTGCAAATAAACCTACAAGTGACCTCAACGACTCTCAGAAAGAGTGCTAACAATCAAATGACTGCAAGGAATATAAATCCTTCCATCCTCCACCATTCAGTCAAAACTGAAGAAGCTTATTGGATGAGAAGCAAAAACGTCTTCAAGGAAAGACAAAGTCCAGTTGCTTTTTTGAAAAAAAGCACCTTTGGGACAAACATGACCTGGATGACTGACAGTCTCCATAGACATTTTCAAAAAGTGCTTGCCACTGGCTTCCTCTCTTGCTGAGAGATAGTGACTGGTCAAAGGATCACTCAGCTATCTAATTTCTAGCTGGTACTTTAACTGCTGCTCCAAACTTGCTACTTTATTTCCAATAAGTGTTTTAAGTATCTGCATTCTGTTTCTTTATATGGAATACAAAGTACTTAATATTCCCATTAAATAGTTTATATCCCATTTTTCAAAAGAAAATGCAGGACATTTAAAAATGCTTAGATTGGGTTGCCATAAACGTTTCTATAGTTCTGTTTTCTCTGAAATAATGCTTCCAAGCATCTCAAAATATTTTGTTTTCACAGGCTAAATTTACTGAAATTCATTACATAGGGTTAACCTGTATATTCATATATCCCTAAAGAAACCATTTTTAATGTTTCCTATAATAAGCATGGTTTTCCTGATAGTTTATCAGTTCAATAAATCTTTTAATTTAACATCTTGGAATTGAGAATTGAGAAATAATTTCAGATAATTTTATTGAAAAGATAAATTAGCAGAAATTTTTGTATTAGAAACTCATTTTCACTGTTTCAATGAATTCCCAATTTCTTTTGTTTTAGAATGAACATGTATAAAAATGGTGAAAATGGTTTCCTGTGATTTTTCGTAGCTTTTCAGTTTACTTTCTTTGACGGCAAGTCCTTTCCAAAAAAAGTTCCAGAACCTGACTAAAGAAGAACCTATTCACAGATTTATAACTACAGTTCCAGATGCCCTTAAAAGCCATAAAAGCAGGTAGTACCTCAGACTTCAATACTTATGTTTTGAAAGTTGTGTTCTAATTTAAATCTTTGTTCTAGAGTAGAAAAACTGCTGTTAGGCCTGAAATGGACAATTGTTTAGGTCTTCTATCAAAAGTCCTATGAGCTACAGTTTTGCACTGCTAGTTTGTGCTTGGATGTTTAAATTGATATAGAGTCTTTGGAAATTAAGGATCTATGCATACCTTAATGCTGGATTATTTGGAACATAATCATCAATTGTTTGGAACATAATCATCAAATGTACCATGTAATAATTTACCTGACATGCATCAAATTCTTTTTTACTTTTGGAAGAAATTAATACAGATATTATAGAGCATGAATTTTTAAATTCCAACATAATTTTATGTAGAATCAGATTTGAACTAGATCCAGTATTTCAGAACAAGTACGTACTTTCAAATGGTCTGTTCACTGTAATGGAAATTTTACAGCCCAATATTTAGGGCTTTTTTTTGTCTTTCTGTGTATTTAAAATGTAGACAAATATATTTTAGTATCTGTAAAATGGATTAATAATAGCATGTCTTTCTTTGAAACAAATAATTTAATTTTGGTTTAAAGCATTTATTAAAATTATTTATATATTTTAAAAGAATAATTGAATCAATGCATGTGAAAAGTTCCTATGCAGCTTTTAGTGACATGGAAGTCTTTCTACATGGTCTTGAACTTGAACACATAACAGAATTACTGAAGGTAAGATTTCTTTATTGAAAACATATGGGTGCAGTGAAATCTCAAATGGATTATTCAGGGTGGGGATAATTTATTGCCATTATATAATAACATGAGCTACATAATTTGTGTGAGAATTTGCATCATTTGTAATATTTAATAATTATATTGATATGAAAGAAACCCAGTTTAATCTAGTAGTTAAGGCATCATACTAGAAAGCAGGAGACTGAGTTTAAGACTGCCTTAGCCATGAAAACCAGCTGAGTGAGTTGGGACAATCTCTTCTCACAGAGTTGTTATGGAGAAATTAGGAGGAGGAAGATGTGTTGGATATGTTTACCACCTTGAGTTATTTGTAAATAAAAAGGGTGGGATACAAAATAAATAATGTCATTTGTTTAATGTCATAATGTACAAGATATAAATAATTGTGCTTCCTTATTTTAAATGCCATACCTATTGATTGCTTTAGGTGCAGTGGATACCCCAATAGTGGACTCTCTTATTTTTTGTAGTTTGTATTATTTTTTATCAGGCCCACTAAATTGAAGCTTTATAGTAATATATTACTGTACAATTCAAAATGTCACTGCTTAGGTTTAATCCAGAAGTTCAAGAATTCATGTGATTAACTGTTCATAATATTCTGACAGATGTAAATTAAAAGTAGCTTCTTTTCTGTGTTCAAGGAAAGATTCTCCCTGCCAGCTTCCCACAAGGAAACTCATGGGGAAGCCGGCAGGAAGTTGGAAGTTGTTGCCACTGTTTTTTTGCCCACCTGTGCTCATTCTGTTTCTCTGTTTAGATGAGGAAATATTTCTGAAATGATGACCCAATATTGTCTAATGCAAATTAAAAATGTATTCTGAGCTTGTTTTTCTGTGTTCATTGTGAAAATAATTGAAATTTAATAATAAAGTGGGTTACTGGCCTATATAATAGGATCTTGGCCCAAAGTATCTCTGGGAATATACTTTCATCTCTTATAGGAGAGAGAAATACCTTTAAGACAGCTTTTGACAATGGGAAAAGAAGACTTAATAAAGGTTAGCCTATTCATTTATTGTATATTTGCTCTTATGACAACAACAATACTGCTCTTTTAAATTTTAATTCTGTATTTTTTTCACTTCATAACAATTTTCAACATGATTTGCATTTTATTTTGAGAAAAGTAGTATCTTCTGTTTAACTTATTTGAATCTCTAATTGTTCCCTTTTTTTACAAAAAAAGGTTAGGCTGGACATATGCTTTAATAGGAATTAGTGTTATACAAAGGGTCTGTTGATATTTGTAACTTTATCAGTACAAGATGTTTTGCAATTCTCAGTTGAAATGATTGGTAATGTGAGTAAAATGGAGAATGTTCATTAAGTTAATATATATGTCAATGTTGTGACAAACTGAACTGAAGCCATTTTCATTTTGTCTTTGTTGCCACATATTTAGTTAGAAGAAGGAGGGGGATGTGTAGTTTTCAGTTAGCCAAAACATTTCACATGTATGAGAACCAAGGTCATTGCTGATAACATTTTGGCGGGCTGGAGCAGCTGGGAGGAGTGCCTGCATTTTCAAACAATTGGTGAATGTGATTTATGACAGCAATTTGGGATGGGAAATGAAACTTGCAACTTTGTAATCAAGGGGAGGGGAATTTAGTCTTGGGTTCACCATTGTATGTGCTGTTATGTTGTAACCAAATAAAAATGTTCTTTAAGGAAGAAATGCTTGCCTTGAAGTTCTTTTAAATGGTCTCATCTATGGGAACCATGACATTAACCCAAGACTCCAAACTATTTTAATACCACAGGGTCCTGAGCTCCGGTTGTCTACCTGAAGCCTTGGGAGTACAACAAAGACTCAGGGAAGATTCCATGATCGAGAAAAAGGAAGAGCCTATTACTAGCCTCGAAGCTACAGCAACCACATCAGCGGATAGGGTGCAGACCATTGTCCTGATAGAGAGTGTGACTTCTGTGACTCCGGCAATTGGCGCGAGACCAAAGGAACGTGAGATCCAATTGGAGCCATTATTGCTGTCGGAGGGAGTCCTATCTATTGGTGACACTTGGCGTGCACAGGCAGCCCAAGCAAAGAGGAGTTTAATAAAGGCCGTGGAAGCTGAATTTCCACTAACTGCTTCCCACGAACCGCGCTCTCCTGATTGAAGAGGGGCCAAGCGACTGGCATCTTGTGTTCTGTCCCAGCCTACGTGAGTCCTTGTTATGCTCACAAGGAGAAACCCCTGTTCCAAGAAACAGGCAGGAACCGCAAGAAAAAAACCAACCCCTTTATTCTCACAGACCTGAGTCAATGTCCAAGGCAAACAGACACAGTCCACACAAACTCGGTCCTCAACACAAACTGTTGCCTTTGGCAACCAGCACCTCCCACATCTTCCCTTTTATAATTCAGCCAAGGCGTGGCTTCCTAATGCCTTCTTTGCCTTTGGAGCCCCCCCCCTCCATTGAATTCCTCTGTTCTACTTGCTTATCTTGCCTACAATTTCGTGCATCCTGGATTTGTCCCAACTGTTCTTCATCACTCAGGCTCCCAGCACAGCTGTGTCTCAGCCTGAGCGCGAGTAGAGGGGCCAGGCTCCTCGTCCGACTGTAAGTCTTGGAGCTCCTCAGAGCTTTCCTCTGACTCTGATGTCACTCCAGGCCTCTCCTCCTCATCTGATTCCTCAGACTCAGCTGCCGGATCTACTGGCTGGCGAGGAATCACAACACCTTGGGATGAATCGGGTGAATGGAAATATCTGACTGCGATCCGAAGCCAGTCCGTTGAGTGGTTAAGAGAGAAGTTTGAAAGACTGGAGGTGGGAGGAAAGGAGCAGGTCACCCGTCAGTTACTTTCCAGTGAACGGGATGACAGATGCCCCCTAGACCGTCCACAATCCAGGCGAAGTCCCAATCCCATAGCTGGGGCCGAGCTGCCTCCTACAACCAAAGCCATCAGCTTTAACTTCGAGTCCAGTGTGGAAGCAAAGGCCAGACCGCCGTCAGCGGCGTGATATCCCTGACCATCAGCGGCAGCTGACCAGCCCTGATCGCCATCAACACTATGCTAGTCGTGACCATCAACAGCGGTATGTCAGCCTCGATCGGTACCGATGCTATGTGAGCCCTGACCGATACCCACGCCAGATCAGCCCTGAACGCTATCGGCATAGAGCAAGCCCGATCGCCGCCGATACCCAGATAGCCCTAATAGATATCCACATCAGGATATCGGTACCAGGCCAGGCCAGACCATCATCATTACAGACTTAGTCCCAAGCGGCACCCCTGGCGACTCAGCTCCAGATGTCACCAGTGCCACACCAGTCCAGGAACCCTGCCAAGAGCTAATCAAGCAGCGGGACTCCCACAGGATCAATTGCAACAGTATGGATTGCTACAGGCTCTCTTAGATCGGCAACAACCCGTAGCAGCCCCTGGCGAAAGGGCGAGTATTTACCAAATTAGACCTAAAAAAGGCATATTATCGCGTGAGAATAAGAAGGGGATGAATGGAAAACTGCCTTTAACAGCCCCCTGGGAAGTTATCAGTTTAAAGTCATGCCTTTTGGATTACAAGGAGCTCCTGCTGTATTCATGCAGCTGATCAACCAGGTGCTGCACGATCATTTGTATAAAGGGGTTTTGGTTTATCTTGATGACATCTAAATCTATACAGAGACTGTGGCAGAACATATGATTTTAGTACGAGAAGTGCTCAAAAAACTGCTGAACGCAAAACTCTATGCAAAACTCCCAATGCGAATTCCATTAGGCACGTTTGGATTATCTGGGTTACACAATATGCAGCAAAGGAATAGAGATGGACCCAGCTAAAGTGAAAGCTGTAATCGAATGGCAGCCTCCATGAACTCGAAAACAACTTCAGAGCTTTCTAGGATTTGTTAATTTCTACCACCAATTTATCCCCTCATTTGCTGAGATTGCTTTGCCCATCACTGAACTGTTAAAAACTGGCTAAGATGGGGGTAAACCACGACCAGGCAAACCCCTATGCTGGTCGTTAGAGTGCCAGACTGTGATGACCCAGGGCACGGCACAGAGGCAAAACAGTCAACTGGCAGTTCAAACCGCCATTATTTGCTCCAAATTTTCCCCAAATGCTCCCACATTTCTGGCAAGCCGCAGAACAAAGTAAGACACACCTTCAGCCTCTGGTTGCAAGTAATTTTTTAACTCTTCAGGCAGGAAAAGTATGTGTATGGAACAAGCTGGTTTCAACTCACACACAGATTAGAAGAGTAATTTACTCAAGGCCACGTAGATAACAAAGAAAGAAACATACATCCAAAATCTAACGAGTCTGTGGAAATTACAAACTTGCCTGAGCAGTTTCAGAAGAGAATCCAAAATTCAGTCTGGGGTCTTTGAACACCAAATCAAGTTTGTCAGCCAGTCCAATGGTCAGAGTTTCAGGGTTTCCAAGTAGAAATCACAACACAGAACAAGAGATCAGAGAGTTGTTTCCAAGATCAGCAACGGCACTTAAACCTCCAAGACTTCAGTGTTTGTTCCCGACAAATGCCCCTCCCCACAGTGTCTCCTTAAGTCTCAATCTCCAGGTGTGCCTTGTGGAGAGGGGCGGGGCGCTTTCCTCCCAAGTAGTTGAGCCTGCCTGCTTTGTTCCCTCCTTCTCTCCACTCTCCTTGCTCTAGGATCAGGAGGGGGTGGCCCTTGTTTATCATCTGAGCTCTGTCTCACATGTTCATCCTGTCCCAATCCTGAAAGGCCCTGGCCTACCTCAGCCTGCTCTTTCCCACATTCCTCTTCCCCATAGACACCTCTCCCTTGTTTTCTGTCGGCTCCAGTTCCAGCTCATTTTCCTCAGCAGATTCAGGCTCCGACGGGGGACATGACAGACTGCTTTTGAGAACTTAAAACGACTGCCACTGAACCAGTTCTCAAACACCCTCATCCTGAAGAGCAGTTTATCATTCAAGTTTATCAGCCACAGCAATGTGGCTGTGGGGGCAGTCCTATTACAAAAAAACCTGAAAGGAGAATTACAACACTGCACGTACACTTCAGAAAAACTCACTGACACAGAATGGAGATGGGCTGTCTGGGAGAAAAGTTTTTGCAATCCAATGGGCTTTATTGACTTGGCGTCATTTTCTAGAGGGGAACAAGGTGCCTTTTGAGGTTTGGACTGATCACAAGAACTTGAAAGCACTGAAAATTCCACGCAAACTCTCTCCCAAACAAGTTCGCTGGGTGCAATATTTTAACCGTTTTAACTTTATCCTGAAATATATACCGGAATGGAAATTTTTGGGGGGCTAATGCCCTCTCTAGGTTACCCCAATATAAAAGCCAACGTGAACAAATTATAAACCCTATTATTCCACCATCACAAATTATTTCTCAGATAAACCCTAGAAAGCAACAACATGTGAGGTCACCTAATCCAGGTGATCCATTAATAGAGAAATTAAAACAAGAACTAAAAAATGATCAATGGTTCAAGGAGAATCAAACCATCTTGATTCATAGGGATAGATTGGCTTGGAAAGGGGGGAAATTATATTTGCCTGAACTGCTCAGGCTCCAAGCACTCCAACGCAGCCATGACGTTAAGCAAGCTGGTCACATTGGTTATTTAAAGACACTACATTTAATTCGAAGGGAATTTTGATGGCCAGGCTTAAAGAAAGATATGGAGAACTATGTAAAAAGTTGTGCAGTCTGTGCTACCATGAAGAGGATCCCAGGAAAGCCTCCTGGGCTATTACAGCCTGTTGCAGATCCTTCTCAGCCATGGGAAGAGATTGCTATGGATTTTATTGTTGAATTACCGGAGAGTAGAGGAAATACGGTAATATGGACTGTGATTGATCTTTTTTCAAAGCAAGCTCACTTCATAGCATGCTCAGGCCTCCCCTCTGCCCAGAAACTATCCATATTGTTTCTCAAGCATATTTACCGGCTACACGGTGCGCCAAAATGAATAATTTCTGACAGGGGAGTTCAATTTACGGCCAGATTCTGGAGAGATTTCCTCAAACTGATTGGTTTTACACAAGGACTGTCATTGGCTTTTCATCCCTCTACGAATGGGGCGGCTGAAAAAGCAAATGCAATGGTGGAGCAATATCTTAGGTACTATGTGGATTACCAGCAGACAAATTGGACTGATCTCCCTTTTGCGGAAGTAGCCTACAACAACACAGTACACAGCAGCACCGGACTTACGCCATTTAAGATAGCCACTGGAAGGGATTTTATTCTGATGCCTGAATACCCCTAGGAGCCCCCTACTTCTCAAAAGTTAGATCAGTGGGTATCTGCTTGGAGGAGTGTTTGGGACAACACAAAGAAAGCTTTGACAAAAGCCTCAGAGATTTACAAAAAGCAAGCAGATAAGAAAAGAGCACCTCAGAAAACTTTCCGGGTGGGAGAAAAGGTTTATCTTTCTACAAAGTATTTAAGACTAAAATTACCTAGCAAAAAATTAGGACCAAAATATTTAGGACCATTTCCCATAGTGCGAATCATAAACCCAGTCACTGTGGAATTAAAATTCCCTCGTCTTTTAGGAAAGATCCATCCAGTGTTCCACTGCAGTCTGTTAAAACCTTTCAGAGAATCAACTCTAAGACCCCCCTCCTAAAAAAAGCACCTAGCCCACTTGTGGTGGCTGGAGAGACTCATGAAGTAAAGCGTATCCTTAATGCTAGATTATACAAGGGAAAATTGCAATATTTAGTGCAGCGGAAGGGATATCCGTTGTCAGAAGCCACCTGGGTGAAAAGTACTGATGTGAAAGCTGACAGACTGATTTACAAATTCTATGATAAACATCAAAGTAAACCGAGAGGGGATTCTTAACTGTTATTCTTGTTTGATTTGCAGGATTTCTCCTTTGTTTTAAGGGGAGCTGAATGTCAATGCTATGACAAACCAAACTGAAGCCATTTTCATTTTGTCTTCATTGCTACATATTTAGTTAAAAGAAGGGGGGTGTAGTTTTCAGTTAGCCAAAACATTTCACATGTATGGGAACCAAGGCCATTGTTGATAACATTTTGGCAGGCTGGAGCAATTGGGAGGAGTTCCCGCGTTTCAAACAATTGGTGAATGTGATTTATGACAGCAATTTGGGGTGGGAAATGAAACTTGCAACTTTGTAACCAAGGGAGGGGAATTTAGTCTTGGATTCACCCTTGTATGTGCCGTTCTGTTGTAACCAAATAAAAATATTTTTTAAGGAAGAAATGCTTGCCTTGAAGTTCTTTTAAATGGTTTCATCTATCGGAAGCATGACAATACATATATAAGCAAGGAAATGAAGTGTATAAAATGTGCTGCATTGCATCAGCATTATTTTGTGCAAAACTGATAGGTTCTTATTTACCTTATGTCAAGCATCAAACTCTGGCAGCTATGTGTCTGTGTTTCAACTTGCTTTTAGATAAAGTGGGGGAGGTGTTACTCTCAAGTGGGTAGATGGAGAAACAAAACTTTTTCGAGTCAGCTACAGACCGTGGGAGCCTGAAGCCTTGTCAAGGACACCAGAACAGGTGTGGATTTGAAGCAGATGGTTCCCATAATAAAGTGAACTTGTTGATGTGGATTACGTAAGACGTTGGAGTTTGGCTGGGAAAACTAAAGGACCCGCTTCGAAACCTCATCCTAAGAAAGCAGGCATAGAAGGCAGGATCTGAGGATTTCCCACTCAAATCAATAGGTTAAAAGAGCATCAAGCAAACCCCACCCCAACAGTTTACCTGGACAGTTCAAATGAGCCAATCCCTAGGTGTTAGGTCTGCTGTGGGAACAGAGCTGATAACGGAGTCTGTTACCATGCTTGTGAAGATGTTCTTGGGTCTTCGCATCTTTCTCTTCTGCAGCGAGAGATAAGCCAGATGTCCTTTCTCACCCCAGGTTGACATCAAGGGGGAACAGTTCAGAGAACAAGCAGATAGAAAAGGCAGAGAGGATACATTGTGGCTAAGCAAAAAGGAGAAAATATGTGTTCCCTTGAGCCTCCCCCCTCCCCCCAAGAGAATGACAGAACCCACAGAAAGAAGCCAAAAGGAACAGAACAGAACCACCCCTCCCTAACAAAGAAATGGGTTCTGACAGTTTAAGTCTGTGAATTGGTGTGGGAACCTCAGAGTTAGTTTTACTTCAACATAACCACGCAGTGTATTCAATAAACCAGAAGATTTTCACAAACAGATTTAATCTTGAGTTTTATTTAGATTCTCAAGTTGGATGTTGACAACTTACCTTATTCACATCTTGGAGATTTTAAAAGTATCATTTTTATTGACCAGAAGAATTGTTATTTTTAAATATGATTCAAAATAAATGTACCATACCTTTTTGCATCCTGTCTTTGTCGAGAAACAAATTAATTTTTTTATTTTTTTATCAAAAGAAATATCTATTGTTTTGTATTGCATTTTTTGTTGAATCTTATGCCACTTAGGGAAGTATTAAAATTTGCCTCTATTGATTAAAATTCATTATAAAACAGAAATGTACTATTTGCTCAGATGTGTAGTTTTTTATTTTATTCTTACCTTGATAACAAAATTACGTCAAGTTCAGAGTTCCCAATGCATAATTAATATCTGAAGGATTTGAATGTTTAAAATTCCTTAGAAATGTTTTTAAATTTTTAGATTGGCATCGAGAATACCAGAGATCAACAAAAAATTTTAGATGCTGTTAAAGAACTACATATAGAAGAAGTAAAGTTGGAAGAACTGTCTGCAGTGACAAATTTGGAATTCAGGTAAAATAGTGATAAAAAGAAAGATGAACCATCTATTTAACTAAAAATAGTAATAAAGATCTCATATTTAATAGTCAAATTATTATTTTGCAAAGATCTAGTGTGAAATACTAAAGCTTATGCCATTATAAATCAATTTATTTTTGTTTAGCTTTTTCTTTTGCAGCAAACTAAATATCTACTCCCTGGAAACTTTCTGAGTTTGCAATTAAGTTTTTTAAAAGTCTATTACAGTGAGGGGAAAAAGTATTTGATCCCCTGCTGATTTTGTACATTTGCCCACTGACAAAGAAATGATCAGTCTATAATTTTAATGGTAGGTTTATTTTAACAGAGACAGAATAACAACAAAAAAAATCCAAAAAAACACATTTCAAAAAAGTTATAATTTGATTTGCATTTTAATGAGTGAAATAAGTATCAATCAGCAAGATTTCTGGCTCCCAGGTGTCTTTTATATAGATAACGAGCTGAGATTAGGAGCATTCTCTTAAAGGGAGTGCTCCTTATCTCAGCCTGTTACCTGTATAAAAGAAGCAATCAGTCAGATTGTAAACTCTCCACCATGGCCATGATCAAAGAGCTGTCTGGTTTTTTTTGTTACTCTGTCTCTCACTGTTAAAATAAACCTACCATTAAAATTATAGACTGATCATTTTTTTGTCAGGGGGCAAACGTACAAAATCGGCAGGAGATCAAATACTTTTTATCCTCACTGTAACTCATTCATTTGTCAGAGCTGAGGATATTCATTCTCACATGACCTTAGAGTGAGCAGTGTCCTCACCCATTATGCATGTGCATAAAATAAGAGAATAAATAAGACTTCCTAGTTATTGTAAAAAAAATAAATAGTTTGATAGTAATTCCTTATCTGAAAGTAAATACTCCCTTTGCATCTACGGTAGTTGCAGTTATGAAAGTTAAAATTTTAAAGAATTTAGCTGTTTTAGTATAAATGAATAATTGTTTAACATTTTTGTTACAGTGGTGATGAATTTCTTTCCTTTCTTATGAAACTAAAAAGACAATGCATTCAACTTAAAACCTCTGTGCAGAATATTATTAATCAGTTTCCTACAGATGCTCATAAGGTACAATATTCATCTAAGTGTGTTTTTTCAGAACATCATTCTTTACTTAAGTAAAATGAATTAATTCTCCACAAGGGAATGGCTGTGGGTTGGACTTCTCTCTCCATATTAACACTGATTGAGACAGGCATTGGAGAAAGGAGCTGAAGTAGCACAATATTATGCTGCCCAGCCCAAAAGGGTACCATGGTTGATGATATCAAAAGCTATTGAGAGGTCAAGGCGAACAAGGATGGGTACACTGCCCCTTTCTACTCTCGCCAGAAATTTATTGTTACTTATTTATTTGCTAAATTTATTTGCTGCCTATCTTGCCTTGGGGCTACTCTAGAATGGCTTAAAACAATAAAAAGGAAGAATTGAAAAAGTAAACAACAGAAGTAAAATAATAGAATAAATTAAACAATGAAAAAGAAAATGAGAATATAGCACTATAACAAGATGGATGGGTGGAGAGCAGAGGGCAAGGGGGGGAGTGAAGTCTGCCATCAATCCAGCAGCCATCTCCAGTGGAGAACTCCCCCATTTGGCCCCCAGGCCAACCAGCAGAGCCAGGTCTTCAGGCTCTTGTGGAAGGATAGAGTGGGGGTAGATTTTATCCTAGAGAGTAAGATGTTCCAAAGGATGGGTGCTGTAGCAGAGAAGACTTTTCTTCTGGATCCTGATAGTAGGAGTTCTTTGAATGACAGGATCCAAAGTAGGCCCTCTCTGCCAGCACGAGTAGGATGGGCTTGTCCTAGCAGGATGAGAAATCATCCACAAGCAAAACTAATGCCATTTCTGTCCCATACTCAGGCCTGAAGCCCAACTGAATGGGATCCAGTCTGTTATCTTGTACCAGGACAGTGACATCAGAAAATATATTGTTAAATGAACAGTAAAACTGCACATTTATGGTAACAGTTTATAGTCCTGTGGAAGAGCAGTATGTGAAGGGAAAATGTCAGTTTGGACACATGCCAGGCACTATCCAGAAAAGTATTTATTTTTCCAAGTGATTGGATCTGGAATTTCCATTGCTAAATGATGCAGTCCAAAGCATTTTGTCACCTGACTGCATCAGTTAATGCCGGCACTCCCCATTACCACTTAAGCAAGGATCCAAGGTCACTAAATGAGTGCCAGATAGGCTGGTAAGGCATGAGCGGATGGTTTCTGCCTGGGGAATGGAGGGTACATGAGTGGCCAGCACTAAGGGCTAGAGAAGGATCTAAGCAACTTACTGGAGAAATTTTGATCTTCCCTGCTAGCTTACTCATTTCCTTTGTTTGGAGGAAGCTGGCAGGGATGGTCTCAAATGACAATCATGTGACTGGGATGCTGCATCCACCCTAAGTGCAAACTGATTGCAATCACCAGGCCATGGGTGTACTGAGTGGCGAGAATTTCAGAAACCTGTTGTAAGTCTCCTTTGTCCTCTAACAGTTGCTGAATGAATGGTTGGTAAGTGAGGACTACTTATATTATTTTTTCTGTTGAAGAAGCTTAACAGTTTGCTTAAAAGAACACAGCGGGTCTTACCAACTTGAGATTCCATAAAGAAGCAAAAGATCTAAAAGAATTGAATTGATCACTTAGTATCACCTTGGAGTAGACCAGCATCTAGTCCACTTAACTTTTGAAGTACCAGGGCATGACAAATCACCAGACGTGATGTATTCTCCATTATGAAGAACTTGTTTGATCTTGGTAGTTCTGGGGAAGTCCTTGGTAAAAAGTTGTTTTCAGATGCATTATATTGGGATATTGTACTGCTTGTATCGTGATGATGATGATGATAATGTAATTCAAGAATGGAAACACACACCATTTTACAAAAAAGATGTTGAAACTTTGCAAAAAGTTCAGAGAAGAGCAACTAAAATGATCAAAGGTCTGGAGACTAAAACATGAAGAACAGCTGCAGGATTTCAGTATCTGAGGGGCTGCCACAAAGAAGAGGGCATCAAATTATTCTCCAAAGCACCAGAGGGCAGGAAAAGAAACAATGATTGGAAACTGACCAAAGTAACCTGGAATTAAGGAGAAACTTCCTAACAGTGAGGACAATTAACCAGTGGAACAGCTTGCCTTCAGAAATCATGGGCGCTTCATCATTGGAGGTTTTTAAGAAGAGACTAGATCAGGGGTAGGCAACCTTGGCTCTTTTATGACTCGTGGACTTCAACTCCCAGAATTCCTGAGCCAGCCATGCTGAGGGGAAAGGGAGAGGTTTCCAAGCTGAGCCATGCTGGCTCAGGAATTCTGGGAGTTGAAGTCCACGAGTCATAAAAGAGCCAAGGTTGCCTACCCCTGGACTACAGTCACTTGTCTGAAATGGTTTAGGTTCTCCTGCTTGAGCAGGGAGTTGGACTAGAAGACCTCCAAAGTCCCTTCCAGCTGCTAGTCTAGTCTATTCCTTTTTCTCTTATCACAACTTGGCATAAAAAAAGTTAAAGCCATAGTAGTAATAACTGATACGATTTGTCATTGACCACAGAAGGAATGCACCACATAAGGCTTACTTTTGTAAGGTGAAGCTAACACCTCAGCCTGAGCAGAGTACAATTCTTGCAGTAAAAATATTGCCCAAGTACCAGAGCAAATCGAAGTGAAATATACATATAAGATGAAAGTCAAGTTTTAAACCAATGGTAAAACAGTACCAGTCAGCATATACAACCATACCAGAAGATTCTCTGTGTGTAAGTAACAAGATTGAACATACCAGGAGATCAGCACACCAAAACAAACCATACAGACCAGACTAGAAAGTGATACCTGTAAAACAACATGACTGACAAGGTTACAATTACTCCTAAAATATAAGAATATACTAACACAAATACAGGTAGTCCTCGGCCTACGACCAGTGTTTAAGGTACTCCAAAGTTATGTCAGCCTTGGAAAGGGTGCTTTATGGCCTGTAAAGCACTTCCAACTGTCACAAAATGTCACATGATTGCAATTTGGTTGCTTGGCCACCTCTTCGCATTTTTACCTGTTGCAGAGTCCAGTCACGTGATTGTGATTTGCAGCGTTTTTTGCAGCGTTTTTTCCAATCATTGTAAAGGTGGTCATAAAACTCGAGGATTCGTGATGGAAATTCCAGTCCCTATTGTTATTGTAAGTTGAAAACTATTTTTAAATCTCTTCACACTGTTGGAATCTATCTGGCTATAGATCTGTTCTCAAGTGGAGAGATTTGTCAACATTTCATCTAAAAATCACCTTGATATGCATTACTTTAAACATGTCTTAAAATGGTCAATTCTCCTACAAGATGTAACACATCTTTTCCATGTTGCACCTCAAATCTCTCAAGTGGAGAGATTTGCCAAACATTTCATCTAAAAATCACCTTGATATGCACTTTAAACATGTCTTAAAATGGTCAACTCTCCTACAAGATCCTGAAACAGAGGATACCCCATACATTTGCCATTGCTTGCATATCAGCACAAAACCACACTCGTTAAGTAAACTTTATTGAGGATGGAAAATCCTATCCAAGATGTGGCAGGAAGCTTGTATGGGAGAGGCTTATCCAAAACCTCAACATGTGTATGCTCCTGTGTATTTTTCAACCAATAAAACTTTGCAATAGTAAAATTATACCAGTGGAATGCAGTTCATATGTAACTGTAAAGACATTTTTTTAATTTATTAGTTGGTTCTTGAATGGAGTCCACCACACAGTCTTGCTACAGTGTGTGAAGACCTAATTTTGAGTGCTGAAGATCTGACTGCAGAGGTGGTAAAACTAAAAATGCTCATGAATAAGGTACATATATCCCTTTATGAATAGAGTACGTATGATAATTACCAACAGATTTCTAAGTATTAGTTCGTTCAGGCAGTATGATTGTTAATGTTTTAATAATACTCTACCCACAGTCGCCTTGTGAGGTAGATGGGCGGTCTTCAAATTTGATTAATAAATAATGGATTAATAGATTTGGTATTCTAGAATTTGCCAGTATAGGAGTACATCCTAGCAGTCACAAGTGGGACTGCCAACTTCGTTAAGAAAAGCAATTGCTAAGTGAATGAACTTACTATATTTAGCTTTCCTTTACTTCACAGATCTATGAATGGTCACTAAATGAGAAAGTCAATAAACAGGACTACTTGTAAAAGCAAAATATGGGTAACTAAGAAAAAACAATAGGGATGCGGCCATGCAATTTGGAAACTCAGTAGTCTTTTCCTATTCAGAATTGCCAGTGAGCAGATACAGCAAAATTAATTAGGGCTTGCACATGCAATTACAATGCTGCCTTTCTGCTATTTACATAAAATCTGTGTCTATTTACAGAAGGCTAACTTAATTTTTCTGGAATACATTAGTATAGATTTCTAACATTTTTTCTTCTATTCAACACATTTTTATCAGCTCCAAGATGGGCAGAATGATGATCCTTGCCGAATGCAACCTTTGGTGAAATATGGCAGATGGAAGACAGCTTTTTTAAAAATAGCAGTACTAACTGTGGTTGGGTCTGGATGTGTTTTCTTTATTTTCAAGTTATCTCTAAAGAAAAATTGAATTAAAATAAGTTTTTATGTATAGTTGAATTATGTTCAGGATTTTCAACAATACAGGGTTAATTCGGGAGTTTATTTTTATGCCACCTTTATTATTTTTATAAATAATAAAACCAACATACCTAAAACACTTCCATCCTCCTATTTTTCCCACAACAACTGTCCTGTGAGGTGGTTTAGGCTGAGAGAGAATGACTGGATAAAGTCACACAGCTGGCTTATTGCAGTTGGTCCAATAACTAAGTAATACCCAAACCAAATAAAAAGCAACTTGTCGTTCAATATTTCTCAAAGAACCAATTTCCATCCTTACTATGAACAGGATTTGTAAAGAAGGACCAACTTTAACCAATGCAACTTTTGTTATTCCTTCAAAAGGAAAAGCTCTCTTCTAGTACGATTATTAAAAGTAGCATCTTTGCTATGCCATTTTCCTCCCTAACACATCTGTATACAGATATTCCTTTTAACAAATGGGTTACATGGCCACTTAGCTTTTTCATGAACTCAATCTTAGTACTCATGAGTAATATTTGGGACAAGTGTGAGCCAAGTGAAACTTGCAAACCTAAGCATATCTGAATAAGTGGAATCCATGGCCAATGGATTGGTCATGGCTTTGGCTGTTGCAGCATCACCTTGGACCAGATGACCTGGTAGTAGTAAAACTTCCTTATCACCACCCAGTTAGACTACTTGTAATGCACTCTACTTGGTGCTACCCTTTAAAAGTACTCGGAAACAATCATTGGTCCAAAATGCAGTGGCATGCATCACTACATTTGGTGGACTTCACATTGATTCCAGTTGATTTCCAGGTCCAACTTAAGGTAGTTTTATTGATAAATGAAGACCCTTATGGGTTGGTATCTGGGTACCTTCAGGACAACCTACTCCCATCAGTAACTTACACAAAAGAGAAATTGCTGTGAATCCTGCATTTTGAGATGTTTGGGGGAGTGTGGTGAAGTGATCTGTAATAGTGTCGATATTGTGGTACATCTTCCGTGAGAAAATCAGATTCTTTTGTTAGTCCTTTGGAAAATTTTGAAGACTGAATTGTTTTGGAAAGCTCCTAATGTTAATGTTTCTATGTTTATTTATTTGTACTTTATGTTGTATTTTTAAATTATTTTTGTAGTTGCTTATTTCTGCCTAGATGCTTTATGTAAACTACTGAACATCTCTTAATCACAACAGCGTAGAAATGTGATTAATAAGTATAAGAGATGGCGCTCATTATGGTATATAAAACGATGTGTGAATTCAGTTGACTGTTTAATCATTCAGCACTGCATATTCAAGCAATACATATGCCATAGCAGGTTCAAAGGCTTTCCACTGTTACCAAATAGTTTATGGATGGATAATGTGTTTTATACTAAAACCAACTTTCATGTGCCTTAGATTGGGGAATTGCAAAACCAATAGAGCATCTAACTTAAGAAAAAATTACAGTGTAAGAGAATGCCACTTTACCCAATAATAATCTCACCTCTTTTTGCCCTGAGGAAAGATTGATTATACAAACATTGTTTGGACATAGAACAGTATGTACTTCATGTTGGTCTTTTTGTATAGTATAGTAATGAGTTTTTTTCTCATAGAATTTGATACACTGGCCAAACTTGCAAACCTAATTTTCATGGCAATGATATTTGTGATGTTCTTGGCTGTGCTAGATGTTTTGACATCCTTAGGATTATAAATGTTTTGGGCTCTATTATTCTATGCCTTGATAAAATGGATGTGCAAAAAACTGGAAAGGGCTAAAATGTGGAAAAGTAACAAGAGTGACTGGAATCAAAAATCACATTTGTTTTTCCATTCATGTAATTCCTGGTTATTGTGTTGAAGCCTTCTGTTACACTTTTATTTGTACATAAACAGCTTTTTTCTATTTATTTTGCTAATAAAGTAGAAAGCCAGTTCTGTTAAGGAATACATATCAACTCTTTCATGAAAAAAATATAATGGAGGGGATATCTATTGTACCATACGTGATTTTGGCTTGTCTTTGGTTTTGGTTCATGTTTGCTTTTTGTTAATATGGTTTGATATGAGAAATACATTAAAAACATTGTGACGTTGAATTAAATACTAAAAACTTGCAAGTTCATGATCTTTGGATTCATGAAATACAGAATATAATCAGCAGTGTCCATTGGGAGGTAAAGAGTCTAGGTTGCAGTTGTAGCAAAACAATTGAAGCCCTATTTGCACATGTGTGTAACATCAACATCCACAAAACAAATGATAGTTCAAAGCTGCTGACCCAATTGCTTTTTTTTTTTAAATCCCGGCAACATTACCTCCAATGCCACTAAAGCTGATTCCTCATTAGAAAGGAATGGATGTAGGTCCTAAAGATTTGCTTTTTGCTGACAGTATGTAAAGGCATGTCCATTTTATAGTGGAAAATGGCAGCAGCAATGATGTCAGCTAATGCAAATATAAAAATATTGTTCCACTGATTTCCAGTACCTAAAATGACCACCAGCACTGGGTTTATTATAACCTAAAAAGTATTTTAAAATATAAATTTAGGGTCTGTAGATTAAAATAATTCTTTGCTTTGCCTGGACGCAATTATTAGGCAAGTTGTATTTTGGAGGATTAATTTTCTTATTGAACAACTACAGTGCTCTCGGTCAATCCAGAATGTTAATAAACCTCAAACATGAATATTTTAAAAAGTAAAAGTGAGGTTTTGGCTTTCTTAGGAGAATATATATGTGTGTACAATTATTGGGCAACTATTACTGTGGAGAATTACACAACTAAATGAAAAATGAAAATTTGTCCATCTCATTTATTTGCAACTTTTAAAGTGAGAATAATAACTCAAAATGTACAAATAAATATTTCTGGTATTTCAAAAAAAAATCAGTGACCAATATAGCCACCCTTTTCAATAACAGTCATAAGCCTTTTCTTTTCAATAACAGTCATAAGCCTTTTCTTTTCAATAACAGTCATAAGCCTTCCGTTCATGGAGTCTGTTAGTTTCTTGATCTGTTGACAATCAACTTTTGTGCAGCAGCAACCACAGCCTCCCAGACACCGTTCAGAGAAGTGTACTGTTTTCCTTCACCATAAATCTCATGTTTAAGAAGGGTCCACAAGTTCTCAATAGGGTTTAGGTCAGGTGAGGAAGGGGGCCATGTCATTATTTCATCTTTAAGACCTTTACTGGCTAGCCAAGCAATGGAGTACTTCAGTGCATGCGATGGAGCATTGTCCTGCATAAAAATCATGGTCTTCTTGAAAGATGCAGACTTTTTCCTGTACCACTGCTTAAAGAAAGTATTTTCTAAAAACTGGCAGGTTTGGGAGTTGATTTTGAGTTTCATCTTCAATCTGAAAAGGTCCAACTAGCTCATCTTTAATAATACCAGCCCATACCAGTACCCCATCTCCACCATGCTGGCATCTGAGTTGAAGTGGAGCTCTGCCCGTTACTGGTCCAACCATGGGTCCATCCATCTAATCAGTCAAGCATTACTCATCGGTCCATAAATCTTAGCTTCAGATACTTCTTGGCCCAGTCTTTCAGTTTCAACTTACATGTCTTGTTCAGTGGTGGTTGGGTTTCAGCCTTCCTTACCTTGGCCATGTCTCTGAGCACTGAACAACTTTTACTTCTGGGCACTCCAGGTAGGTAGCAGTTCTGCAATATGACAGTATTGGAGGATAATGTGTTCCTGGTAGCTTCACATTTGATTCTTTTCACATTTTTGGCAGTTAATATGTATCTTTTTTTCTTAACATGTTTCTTGTGACCGTGTTGACTGTTTGCAACAAAACATTTGATGGTTTTGTGATCACACCCCAATATCAGCAATTTCAAGAGTGCCACATCCCTCTGAAAGACTTTTTACAATGTTTGACTTTTCAGTCAGTTAAATCTCTTTTTTGGCCCTTTTGCCTGAGGAAAAAAGCTGCCTAATAATTATGCACCCCTTACAAAAGTTTGAAATAATGGCAATGAATTATGCATATACACTATAATTTTGAAAACCCAAGTTTTAGCCCCCCTGGTTGTGAACAAATACAGGTCATCTGATATGCTTATATCCACTAAGCATTTAAGATTACAGCTTGGAGGTGGAAAATATGCATGAAAATGATATGGTCAAAATATTCACTTGGCTAATAGTTGTGCACACTGTATTTGTTCTAATTGCAGTCAAAGGTTGCTGGTATTTCTCACATACCACATAATGCAGTGGTTCTCAACCTTCCTAATGCCGTGACCCTTTAATACAGTTCCTCATGTGGTGGTGACCCCCAACCCCCCATCCAGCTGGGCGGGGGGGTATCAAAAACTTGACCAAAAAATGGGAAAGTATAGGTAGTCCTCGACTTACAACAATTCGCTTAGTGACTGTTTGAAGTTACAACAGCACTGAAAAAGTGAATTATGATCATTTTTCACACTTATGATTGTTGCAGCATCCCCAGGATCATATGATTTACATTTGGATGCTTGACAACTGATTCATACTTATGACGTTCACAGTGTCCCAGGGTCACATGATCAATGGCCAGGGGCGTGGCCAGCTGATCACTCAGGTTGCAGAGTGCCTGTGGGGGGGAATCTGTGGGTCTCTGGGGTGGGTGCCTGCCTTCTTTCCCTCCCTTCTCTCCCCTTGTCCCTTCCTTTCCTTCCCCCCTCTTAGTCTCTTCCTCCTTCCCCCCTCTCTCCCCTTGTTCCTTCCTTCTTTCTTTCCTTCCCCCCTCTTAGTCTCTTTCTCCTTCCCTCCCACTCTCCCCTTGTTTGTTCCTTCCTTCGTTCCTTCTTTCCTTCCCTCCCATTATTCCTTCCTTCCTTCCCTCTCTCATTGTCCCTTCCTCCCCCCCTCCGTGCCCAGGAAGGGACAAGGGGAGGTGGATAGGCTGCCTGTGCACAGGCAGAGACAGAGGAGAGCTCCACCCAGCTCACTTGCTCATCTTCGCTGAAAGACATGCTGCTTGCTAAGTTAGCAGAAGCTCCAGGATCAGCCCGGGCTACAGCTGATTCGCGCTTCTGCTAAATTAGCAAGCAGCATGTTTTCTAGCATTCTTCCTTCCTTCCTTCCTTCCCTCTCTCATTGTCCCTTACTTCCCTCCCTCTTCGTCCCTTCCTTCCTCCCCCCCTCCGTGCCCAGGAAGGGAAAAGGGGAGGTGGATAGGCTGATTCACGCTTCTGCTAAATTAGCAAGGGCTGGGCTGCTCTGCAAAAGCGCGGATCAGCTGTAAAGGCTCGCCCCGATCCTGGACAAGAGGGAAGGAAGGAAGGGCCAAGTGGAAAGAGGGAGGGAAGGAGGGACAAAGGGAGGCGAAGGAAGGAAGAAAGGAAGAGACAATGGGAGAGGGAGGGAAGGAGGAAGAGACCAAGAGGGAGGGAAGGAAAGGAAGTTCCAGCCAGCAGAGGCTTGGCAGCCCGGCTGCCGAGGAACAGAAGAGCGCAAAGCCAAGGAGAAGAAGGTGGTGGTTTCCTCCCAAAGAGGGCTCCTTTTCTCCACCCCTTCCCTGGGTTTGTGGGGTGCTCCTTTGAGCCTGCTGCGAGCTTTCTCCCCCCCCCTTTTGTGAGGATTGTGGCGCCCTTGGGAAGCCGATTGTGCTTTGAAGCTCCCTCCCTCTCTCCCTGTCAAGCCCCGGCGGGCTGGACATGAACGGGCGGGGGAGGAGTCGAGGACGGGCGGGGTGGCAAAGGAGACTGGCTGACAAGCTCAAGTTCAGGGGTCGCCAGCTGACGGGCGCAGGAGTTGGGTGCTGCCCCGGCCTCCCCTTTGCTGACCTGCGTGCACGAGAAGAAGTCATTCCGGTTGCTGCACAATGAGTCTCTGGGGAGGGCGGGGCCTTGCTCTGCGCCTGTGCTCTTCATGCACCCCCTGCAGGGCACATTTGGTAGAGTTTGTGCAGACTGCCGCCAAGCAGCATATTTTCCACAAACAAGTGATGTGGAGCGGAGGGGGGGAGGGAGAGAAGACGGTTGACGAGCCCTGCCTAAGACCATCAGAAATATGTGTTTTCCGATGGTCTTAGGCGACCCCTGTGAAAGGCTCGCAACCCACAGGTTGAGAACCGCTGACATAATGGGTCATTTTTCTTCCTCTGGATTCCTCAGTTCTTCCATTTCAGACTTTCCAATTATTCCCTAGTGGGTTTTATCTGTCCCCTTTCCTCTCCTTATATACAGTACCCTGCAATATAGTTTCTTATGATGGGGAACCCCATTTCCTTTCCTCTCCTTATATACACTACCCTGCAATATAGTTTCTTATGATGGGGAACCCCATTTCCTCTGAGCTGACACCTTCACGAGGAAAACTTACATTATATTAACAAAGGTGACCTGTTTATTGACACAGTTTTGGAGCCAGAATTGTCTTTTGTGTGAAAAAACTTTCTGTTCCTGTGTTTCCAATTATAGTTGACAGTTAACGTTTTTTCTGACAATTTTTACCTCATTATTGTTTGATATTATTCTGTCTCATGAGCTGTCCTTTTTGTTTCCTAACTTCTAACTTCACATTTGGCACGTCTTGTGTATATACAGTGTTGTGAGCATCCTTTAACTTTTTTTAATCGTTAGAATTAAAAATGTAATCCTATTAAAATGGAAATAATCGCTGCCACTACTAAAATCAAAAGTGTAATCCTATTAAAATGGAAATAATCTCTGAAACGTCTATTGGTTTTGCTGCCACTACTAAACCCTTTCCTGGTTTGGAAATGGCCTTTTATCTCCTCTTTTATATATTTAACAAAACATGACTCAGAAATAAGAAGCTGCAGAACACCATAGTCCCTTTGTACTGTTTAAACAAGGAAATTGGTTAAGATTAGTTTATAAACCAATTCCCTTAGCATCACCACATATTTACAGGCTGTCAATTCTTGCCTTCCCTGGAACTAAATATTTAGCACTCTCCCTCTGACAGAGGTCTTCCTAAACTCCCAGCTCTCCTTAGTTACATCCTTTCACCTCACCCTCTAAATCTGTCCTTAGTTTCCTCACTCTTCTGGAATATAACCTGGGAGGAGGTGCTTTGTATTCCCCTACTTAATCAATCATGACACTCAATTCCTCATGGAAGCTGGAAGAGAATTAAAACAAGATCAAACGGTTGCCATACACAAAAGTTTATTTTTTTAGTTTTTGTTTTTTGGAAGCAAAATAGAATCAAACATCAATGTATTTTGTACAACAAAAATTATGGTAACAGACAATTTATGAGGAGCTTAACGTGGGCTCTCTTTTAAAAAAGAAATCATGCTTTCTGGTAGTCAACAGGAAGTTGGCACAGAAAATATGGCAGTCATTGAGAACTGTTTTCCTTTAGATCCTTGTTAGCTGATGCCAGAGACTGGAGGGCAGGATGCTTTCCACTTTTTCCATCACAAAGTTCAAGGGAGCAAAGAGAGTACTAAGAAACTGCAAGAAAATTATGGTTATGAGTTATGATTATCTGATCTGTACCACTCAACCTAGCTTGGAATAACACATTTTCATTTGAAATAATTTTAATATATTTAGTAGATACATTTGAATCAATATATTAATATAAAGTTTATTTAATCTGCAGAACGAAACTTTGTCCTGTTGACATTTCTATTGATAGCATGCTACAAAGGAAATCATTTATAGTTCAGATATATTTTGATGTATGATTTAAGCCCTCTTCCTCAACTCACTGAGGATCTCTTTTCTATTATGACTAGGTTTTCCAGTACTCTTTGTTGGCCTTCTCCGATGACTGTTTTAATCATGGGGCTCTTGCTTAATTATACCATTAAATTTTCTCCCAATGTTCCTATCCTCATTAAACAGATCATCCTCATCTCAATCATGGTCTGTTTTTTCCAAGAATTTTGTTCTGGTTTTCACCTCGTGAACCTATTGGCCTCTCATCTCTCTTATGGTGCCCTTCAGTCAACTTTCAGAATTCTTAACTCTGGAATTTCCTTACTTCTAAAGGGCACGAGGATAGGAAAGGCTGGTGTCCAAAGGCAGTGACAGCATTTTTACAATATAAAGAATAGTTTCATAGGGATTCTCAAGGCTATAACAACAACAACTTTGTCACTTTGAATGTACACCAATCGGCATACATCAAAATGAAATTTTGGGGATAAGCCAGCCAGAAATAGAACAAATAAAAAAAACAGTCTTTAGTCAGATCATAAGAGCAATATACTGATAGGGCTGCAGTAGGATATAAAAGTATATCAGCCTTCCCCCTCCTTTTTTTAACTGATCATTTATCACTAAAAAGGGAATGAAAGAGTAGCAAGAGCAGGACAAAATATATACTCCTGGAATTCCCTTGCTTAGGTGGTAAGTCTGGATTTGTTTATCTCCATTGAAACTGGCTATTCAGCAACAGTAACTTAGTTTGCATTTTATCTGACTTCTATTTCGTTACTGTGTTGTAGCATTTCATCTCCTGATTCTATTATATATGATCTCATATATGTTCACAGATGGTTTTTTTTCTTTTTTTAATTGTAAGCTGCCCAGACTTGTTAAGGAGTTTGGTCTCAATATCAAAATTAAATGCAAGAAATAAAAATCTAACATTAACTATTGACATGATGCTGGTTGTAAACATTAATAATATTTTATGTGTTCTCAACTATTCTGCCCATATGTGAATATAACAATTTAAGTGCTCCTATCATAACACATTTAAAAAGTGGCATGTTTCTTTGAATTAACCATATATTTTACTCATTTCATTTGAAATGATATGTTCTCATATTGGAAGAGCCCTGGCAACAGATTAGTAAATCACATTCCTCCAACTCATTTCTAAAATACAGTGACAAATAATGATTTGTAAAGGATAGTTGCCATATGGCAAAAAAACAACAGCAACTGTTGTGCTTGCTGATTAAAAAAACCTGTTATCCCATTTCATTCATTTACTCACCCCTCCCCTTAAACCATCCCAAAATAAGCAAACAAGAAAACATGCTACTCACTGCTTTTGCAAAAACTCCCATTAGTTCTGGGAACTGATGTGTCAGAAGAGCCAACATAGCTGTGAAAGAACATAGTCCAGCAGTGAACAGAATAAAGAATGGAAGCTCTTTCTTGGGGTAAACAGAGACTTCATGAAATGCTGCCAAGACGTTAATAAAGAAAAAAAATACAAGTAAAACACCGTTTTAAACAAAGTTACAGATTTTCAACCAATCTGGTTAAATTTCCTAAAATTATTTTTATTATAAATCTCCATGATTCCTGCAATTAATTTTATACTGTACTTGGTTTTATGCTGTTAATAATTAAATAACTTTTTTTATTAAACTAACAAATGCATTAACAGAGTTAATAAAATAATACAACACCTAAGTATGAAAAGTAGAAGGGGCCTTAGACTTAATCTCAAGAACAAAATAACAACTGATCAAATTATTCAGTTATCCTTATCTCTTTTTAAAAAAATATCAATTAAATTGTTATCAGACTATACTTAATCCAGTTTTTGCTAATTATTAATTTGTATGTTTTATTAATATTTATATAATACCAAGTTTGATATGTGTATCCTTTCACCAATGTTATTTTTGCTTGTTTAACAAAACAATACATGTACACATACTTCATTGAATTTCTGTTCAGTGAAGATAATTTCAAGCTGGGATCTCTTTCTTTTGTTACATTGAGTATTCTTGATGAAAGGCTTGCAAGCCAAATCATGAACACATCAAAATAAATTCAGTTGCCTCCTTCACAATATGCACAATCACAGCTTTTTAATGAAAGAAGTAATTGGGGATCTTCAAAGTCTTAGGTATAGCACAAACTGAATTAGCTTCAGGAACCAACATTTTTCTTTCCCAATCCCAGTAAAAACAGTTGTATCAGATTTTAATTCCAGGTTAGCAAAGGAATTAACTGTTAAATGTAGTGAGTTTATTTTACAACTTTCAATCTGAGAGTAGTGTACTGACAAAAATGTAATAATGGGCTTGTAATCCAACTCAAACCTGGTTGCTACATCTCATGCAGTGACAGACCTCTGTGCAAAACCAAATATGGATAAGCCTTTTATTCCATTCTGAGAATAATTGGATAAACTTGTCTATGGCGATTCTCAGTCCTCCAGGTCATGGTTGTCTCAAAGGTGCTTTTTCAAGAGGCAACTAGACTTTCTTCTTTTACTTTGAAGATGTTTCACTTCTCATCCAAGAAGGTTCTTGGATGAGAAGCGAAACATCTTCAAAGAAAAACAAGAAAGTCTAGTTGCCTCTTGAAAAAGCACCTTTGAGACAACTGGATAAAGTTATACAGCAGAAACGTTCCTTGCTTATGAGCCAATTGATAGACAAATTGTTTAATCTTGCTTACTTAAAGATAAAACCAGAAAAGATTCAAACTTACATGGAAGAAGTTCTCTATCTGCTGTTTCGGTACAAATGGGATAAGGATAAAAAAGGTGCCCTTTTTCCAAAGGATAAGGGATCATTCTGAAAGCTAAAGAAAAAGAAAACAAGTTTTGAAGACTGCAGAGTAACTTTCTACAATTTAATGGATTCTAGATGTGTGGCCTTTCAATTCCCATAATCCCTATTCAGTATGACTAACGATAGGTCTGTGCTTGATTGAAATTACGGGTGTTAAGTCCACTATATCTTTTAGTTAGGTAGAGTTCAATGCAGTGAAATCCAGTGAACTTTTGAACTTCTCTTTGAAGTTGCATATAGCCCACCTTGTTCTGAACTGTTAATATAGTTTCCATTTGTTTATCCATAATGTGCCACAAAGCATATTCCTATACAAATAAATTGAATCAATATATGGTATGTTTAAGAATTTGATTTTCCTGCCTTTAGAAGGAAATAACATCTATAAATAATATGGCAAAGGAGGATCATCAAAATATCTTAAACATGTCTATTGAAAAGTAAATCTCATTAATTACAATGGATTTAACATATATACCCTCTAGTCTTTTAGTGGTGGTAGGGTTGTTTGGATTCTAAGAAGATTTTGTGGATGTTCTCACAAAATTATTGACAGGAGTTGTGTCTCTCTTTTATAAAACAGTTACCAAAGTTAGCATATCCAGTTATAAAACACCTTTCTCAGAAGCCAAAGTAGTTAAAAGCAAAAAATCATTTATTTAACAGGACAGAAATGTGAACTGAGCTCCAAAACATATGCATCCATATAACACCTACAGTATATACTTGCATCAAAAAGAAATGATACAGTGTAATCCACTATCTCATCTACACCCTTCAAACACTTAACTTTTTTCTAGATGTATATCAAAATGAATGAGCTGTACCCAGCAGTCTTATTTCTTGGGTGTGAGTTCCAAGGAATTCTAGAGATAAAGCTTTATTCTGCAGTACAGGAGCTTTCTCTTTAAAAACAACAAACACATTAACTTTAAATTGGAAAACTGGAAAGTGCAAGAAATTGAAAGCTACTAGAAACAGATGCGTGCAGACAAGAGTGGAAGCCATAAGTACTACAGGAAAATATGTTGTAAATAATATGTAACCATAGATAATTGCTATTATACATCTTCCAGTATAATATGCCTATTAGATACAAAACATTAGAGCAATATTGCAATTGTATTAGGGCTGTGGAGTGCTTCTGGTATAGAACAGAACAGAACAGAATAGATCTGGAAGGGACCTTGGAGGTCTTCTCTAGTCCAGCCCCCTGCTCAAGCAGGAGAACCTATACCATTTCAGATAAGTGACTGTCTAGCCTCTTCAATAAAACCTCCAGCCCACAATTTCTGAAGGCAAGCTGTTCACTGGTTAATTGTCCTCACTGTTAGGAAGTTTCTCCTTAATTCCAGGTTGCTTCTCTCTTTGGTTAGTTTCCAACAATTGTTTCTTGCCCTGTCCTCTGGTGTTTTGGAGAATAACGTGACCCCCTCTTCTTTGTGGCAGCCCCTCAAATACTGAATACTGCTATCATGCCACCCCTATTTCTTCTTTTCTTTAGCCAAAACCAAGTCCTGCAGCCGTTCTTCATATGTTTTAGTCTCCAGACCTTTGATCATCTTAGTTGCTCTTCTCTGAACTTTTTCCAAAGTCTCAACATCTTTTTTGTGATAAGGTGACCAAAATTGGCTGCAGTATTCCAGGTGTGGTCTTACTAGGGTTTTATAAAGCGGTAATAATACTTCACGTGATCTTGATTCTATGTCTCTGTTTATACAATCCAGGATTGTATTAGCTTTTTTGGCTGCTGCTGCAAACTACTGGCTCATAGTCAAGTGATCATCCACAAGAAATACAAGGTCCCTCTCACAGTTACTGCTTTTGAGCCAGGTCTTGCCTAATCTGTACTTATACCTTTGATTTTTCCTGCCTAAATGTAAAACTTTGCTTGTCTCCTCATTAAAATTAATTTGGTTGGCCCATTGTTCCAGTTTGTCAAGATCATTTTGGATCCTGAGCTTGTATTCTGGGGTGTTGGCTATTCCTGCCAGTTTAGTGTCATTTGCAAATTTGATGAGTTCCCTTTCTATTCCCTCATCTAAGTCATTTATGAAGATATGGAAGAGTACTGGGCTTAAGATGGAGCTTTGTGGTATCCCACTGCTTCTCTCCGTGTGGATGTAGTACAGTGGAGGACTACTCGTTGAGTACAGTTTGTCAGCCAGCTATAAATCCATCTCGTGGTGATGTTGTCAATTCCACATTTTTCTAGTTTACCAAGAAGTAGGTTGTGGTCTACTTTGTCAAATGCCTTACTGAAATCTAAGTATACTATGTTTACAGCATTTTACTGGTCTACTAGTTCAGTCACTTCATCAGAGAATGAAATAAGATTGATTGGGCATGATCTGTTTTTAACAAACACATGCTGGCTACTAGCTATAACTTGGCTTCTAGTTATCTTTTCCAGGATCTTTCCAGGTATTGATGTCAGACTGATTGGTCTGTAGTTTCCTCAGTGGTTTTTTCCCCCTTTCTTGAAGATGGGAACCACATCACCCCTTTTCCAATCTTCAGGTACTTCCCTGGTGTTCCAGGATTTTTGAAAGATATGGTACAATGGTTCAGAGATAACATCTGCCAGCTCCTTCAGAACTCTGGGGTGTAATCTGTCAGGTCTCAGTGATTTATATTAGTCAAGGTCAGAGAGGTGTTCTCTTACCATTTTCTTGCTTATTTTAATTTTTATTTCTAGTTTGTCTTTTACAGTAGTTTTTTGGTATGTTGGGCTATAATTTCTTTTTGTGTGAAGACTGATGCAAAGAATGATTTAAGCAGATCTGCTTTCTCCCTATTCCTTGTTACTTCCTTGCCATCTTTAGTGGACCTACTGTTTCCTTGACTTTTTTCTTGTTATTAATGTGTTGAAACTTTTTTTAATTGTGCTTGACTTCTGTTGCAAGTTTTTGTTCATTCTGAGCCTTTACTTTCCTGACTTCATCTTTCCCTGTTCTGGCTGTCTGCTGATAATCAGCCTTAGTTAGGTGTCCCTCTTTCCATTTTTTGTACTTGTCCTTTTTGTCTTTCAGTTTGTCAGAGAGATCTTTGTGGAACCATGCTGGTTTCTTCTTGAATTTCTTTTTCAGTGGTATTATGCTGGTCTGGGCTTTTATGATCACATTTTTCAGAGTTTCCCATGCTTCTTGAGTTGTTTTCCCCTTTAGGATTTTCATCCATGGAATCTTTCCTAGGTTCTCTCTGAGATTGTTAAAATCAGCTCTTTTAAAATTTAAGAAACTGGTTGGATTATTTTCTATTGCTTGTTTGCATTTTATTGAATTCTAATATGATGTGGTCACTTTCACCCAAGGTTCCAGCAACTTCAACTCCTTCTATCACTTCTTCTCTATTAGTAAGAATTAGGTCCAGTATAGGTTTACGTCTACTTCCCTCCTCTACCTTTTTGATGACAAAGCTGTTGGCTATGTTGGTTAGGAATCTGTTTGACATCCCACTCGCTGCAGAGTTTGTCTCCCAGTTGATATCTGGGTAGTTGAAGTCTCCCAATAGTACTGTGGTATCTTTCTACATACATTTGTTAACTGGTTGGCAAAGAGTTCATCTATTTCTTCTGATTGGTTGGGTGGCCTGTAATATACACTTATGGCAATGTCACTTTTTTCCTTTTATATTGACCCATATACATTCTGGAAGGGTTTTATCTTTGATCATGTGCATTTCTGTAGATATGTACAGTGAGGGAAAAATTATTTGATCCTCTGCTGATTTTGTACATTTGGCCACTGACAAAGAAATGATCACTCTATAATTTTAAAGGTAGGTTTATTTTAACAGTGAGAGACAGAATAACAACAAAAAAATCCAGAAAAACACATTTCAAAAAAAGTTATAAATTGATTTTAATGAGTGAAATAAGTATTTGACCTCTTTGCAAAACATAACTTAGTGCTTGGTGGCAAAAACCTTGTTGGCAGTCACATCTCTCAGGAGTGGAATAAAATCCCACTCCTCTTTGCAGATCCTTTCCAAGTCATTAAGGTTTCGAGGCTGACGTTTGGCAGCTCCACAGATTTTCTATGGGATTAAGGTCTGTAGACTGGTTAGGCCACTCCAGGACCTTAATGTGCTTCTTCTTGAGCCACTCCTTTGTTGCCTTGGCCATGTGTTTTGGGTCACTGTCATGCTGGAATACCCATCCACGACCCATTTTCAATGCCCTGGATGAGGGAAGGTTCTCACCCAAGATTTGATAGTACATGACCCCGTCCATCGTCCCTTTGATGCGGTGAAGTTGTCCTGTCCCCTTAGCAGAAAAACACCCCCAAAGCATAATGTTTCCACCTCCATGTTTGACAGTGGAGATGGTGTACTAGGGGTCATAGGCAGCATTCCTCCTCCTCCAAACACGGCGAGTTGAGTTGATGCCAAAAAGCTCGATTTTGATCTCATCTGACCACAACACTTTCACCCAGTTCTCCTCTGAATCATTCAGATGTTCACTGGCAAATTTCAGATGGGCCTGTACATGTGCTTTCTTGAGCAGGGGGATCTTGCGGACACTGCAGGATTTCAGTCCTTCACGGTGTAATATGTTACCAACTGTTTTCTTGGTGACTATGGTCCCAGCTGCCTTGAGATCATTGACAAGATCCTCCCGTGTAGTTCTGGGCTGATTCCTCACTGTTCTTATGATCATTGAAACTCTACGAGGTGAGATCTTGCATGGAATCCAGCTTGAGGGAGATTGACAGTTATTTTGTGTTTCTTAATTTGCAAATAATCGCACCAACTGTTGTCACCTTCTCACCAAACTGCTTGGCGATAGTCTTGTAGCCCATTCCAGCCTTATGTATGTCTACAATCTTGTCCCTAACATCCTTGGTCAGCCCTTTGATCTTGGCATGGTGGAGGAATCTGATTGATTGCTTCTGTGGACAGGTGTCTTTTATACAGGTAACAGGCTGAGATTAGGAGCACTCCCTTTAAGAGAGTGCTCCTAATCTCAGCCCGTTACCTGTATAAAAGACATCTGGGAGCCAGAAATCTTGCTGATTGATAGGGGATCAAATACTTATTTCACTCATTAAAATGCAAATCAATTTATAACTTTTTTGAAATGCATTTTTCTGGATTTGTTTTGTTGTTTTTCTGTCTCTCACTGTTAAAATAAACCTACCATTAAAATTATAGATTGATCATTTCTTTTGTCAGTGGGCAAACATACAAAATCAGCACGGGATCAAATATTTTTTCCCTCACTGTAGTGTTCTCTTACATATAGTGCAACTCCACTTCCTCTTTTGATCTGTTTCTGTTGAACAATTTGTATCCTCCATTCGTACATTCCAGTCATAGGTTTCATTCCACCAGGTTTCTGTAATGGCAACTATGTCATACCTATCCTCGTGTGCTATTGCTTTTAGTGCACCCTGTTTGTTCCCCATGCTTTGAGTGCTTTTTTATAAGCATTTAAGACTTTTAAGCCTGTTCGTGGATATGTTTTCTGCATCTCCTAATTGTCTGAGTTTTTCTTTTTTTCTCATCACTCCCTACCTCATTGATCTGTTTTCTTGGGATTTATGATTGGTTTTGTGTTCTAGAAATTCTAAAGATTAGTCACCCTTCCCCATCAATTTTAGTTTAAAGCCCTTCTGATGAGTTGGGCCAGTCTTTTTCAGAATACATTTTCCCTGTTTTTTGAGGTGCAGCCCATCCCTTGCAAGAGTCCTTCACGTAGGTAATGCAGTCCATGGTCCAGGAAACCAACGTTTTTTGGGTGACACCAACCCTTTAGCCAGCAGTTTATTTCTATAATTCTTTTTTCCATCAATGGGTGTTGACCTTTTGTTGGGAGTACTGATGAGAACACTACTTATGCTCCTAGCTCCTTAACCTATTGCCTAGTTCAGGGGTAGGCAACCTCGGCTCTTTTATGACTCATGGACTTCAACTCCCAGAATTCCTGAGTCAGCTATGCTGACTCAGGAATTCTGGGAGTTGAAGTCCATGAGTCATAAAAGAGCCGAGGTTGCCTACCCCTGGCCTAGTTGCTTATAATCTCTCAATATTGTACTCAAATTCTTTGTTGTGTCATTCACAGTCCCAATGTGAAGGAGGAGGAAAGGGTAGTAATCTGTGGGCCTAATTATTTTGGTTAAGTTCTCAGCCACATCTTTGATTTTTGCTCCAGGGAGACAACATACTTCCCTAGATTTTATTTCTGGTCTGCAGATGGCTGGTTCTGTATCTTTGAGAATAGAATCTCCTATCACCATCACTCCTTTTTTGGGGTTGCAGTCTGGGTGCTTTTCTATTTATGTCAGATGTGTTTGTTGATGTGACTTTTTAGGGATATTTGGTGATGTTTCTTTTCTAGGTGTCTGCATGTTTTCTTTGAGGGGGAGGTTGTGGGTCTGCGTATTTTCATCTAGGGGGAGAAATTGATTGCTCAGTTTTAATGGGGCTCCTTCTGGTTGGATTAGATTGGGCAGTAGGGGTTTGTTAGATGTATGCCGCTTCTTTCTTTGATTATTGTGTTTCCTTCTATGTGTAACATACATCCATTTCTCTTCCTTCAAAGGTTTATCAGCAGGGTCAAATACTCTGGGAGTTATTTGTTCATTATTTGGTTTGATTTGGAAATAGCTTTCTTGCATAGGTTAGAGTTTGGCTAGAGTTGCGTCTAGATTCCTTACTTTTTCCTCTAGTAGTCCACATAGTTTACATTTTATACATGTATAATTTGGGTGTTCTTTGGGCATAAGTACATACATGGAACATGTATTGCATACCACAATAGTATCAGTTACCTATTCCATGAGTTTGTTGTTTGAAAATCCCTCTTTTTTGATTGGTGGATGTGCTTTGCTTTTAACCATGTTTCTACCTTCTCTGTTCTAGGTAATTATGCCTATTTTTTTCCATCCCTTTTTCTGCCTTTTTTGTGCTTGTTTTTCTACCTTATTTATTTAACTTGCTTACTATTATGTTAGTTTTATTTATCTTTTTCCTCCTTATATTTTTTTAAAGTTTTTGAATTCCAATTTCTCCCTACCTTATTATTTAAGATTTGCCTTGTTAAGATTTGCCTCTTTATTAATCTTATTCTTCCTTGATTTCTAATGTTCCACTCTTGTCCTTATTATTTGCCTATTTATTTATCTTTTATTTTCTGGCCTGTATTTATTTTTATTCTCTATCAGGGTCTTCCCTCCCTTCCTATTGGGACCTCAAGCTTAAATGTTGCCTTCACTTCCATCGTTTGCTGCTCCAGCCTCTTATCGTTTTTCTTTGCCAGCTCTGTTCTGTCTTTCTGTGCTCAAGTCTTTTCAGCCTCGTCTCTGCTCTGGTCAGCTCTCTCAGCCTGCCACTCAGCTTTACAGATCTGTTGTGCTGCCCGTCTCTGCTGCTGCTATCTCCTCTCCACCAATTCTACTGCTGTGTTTCTCCCCTCCACTGATTCTGCCACCACCAATTTCTCTCAGCCTTTGTTGGATAGGTTGCTCCAGGCCCTCTGTCCTCCTCCAGACAGGCTGCTGGAAAGGTCTGCCCGGCTAGCAGGAGGTGGGGGGACTGCTGATCTCACTGGAGAGGGAATGTTGATCAAGTCCCCCACAAGTCCTCCACTGGGGCAGGTCACTGACCACAGTAGGCTCTCCTCTCCTCTCTGCAGCTGGCTCTCTTCCCTGTTCTGCTATCTCACCAGCCCACCTTTTTGTTTTCTGCCAGTCATTGTGCTCCCCTCAGTCAGGTCTCCTCTCTGCCCCACAGCTGACTCTCCTCTCAGTTCTGCAGCTGGCCCCAATCACTCACCAGCTTGCCTCTTTGTTCTCCACTGGTTCATTTTGCTGCCTGCAGTCATTTCGCCTCTCTGCTCAATGGGCCTCTGGTTTCTTAGGTAGGCCTCTTGAGTGCAGCTGGGCTTCTCTCAGCAGGCAAGTTTGCTGCAGGCCACTTCCTTTGTTGGTGTTTTCCACCTAATTTCTCCAATCTTTCCTCTCCTTTTCCCTTCTCCAGTCTTTTTTTCTCTTTCTATGACTTATTTTTCCCTCTCCACCTCTCCTCCTACCATTTTGTCTTAGTTTAATAGCAACTTTCTCCCCGTGATGTAACCATGCTTTCTCTGTTGCCGCCATCTTGAACATTCAAGATTTTATTCAAGGTTTTATTCAAGATTTTATTCAAAATTCAAGGTTTAATCCCTCCCAATCCTAGAAAAACCATAGCAAATTTAAAGTAATTTCAGAGAGGTGCTACTTTTGCATTGCTGTGTATTTTGAATAACCATTTAGAAACAGGAATGCTATGAAAGTGTGCATTCCACGATCTGCTCTACAGGCTTGGTGAACTCTGGAAGTCTTTCATCCAAGTACTATCCAAGCATGATGCTGTTTACTTGAAGTTCAAAGCTTTAAACTTAAAGCTCAAAGTTGGTCAAATGCTGCTACTAACTGAGCAGCTCCAATCAGCATTCTGGTGTCTGGCACCAAACTGCACCATTATATTTCTTAAGAGTGTTGACCATTTGTGGGTCTGCCATTATTCTGCAAAATAGGCATTTAGGCCGGAAATTTGCATCTGCCTTGATTTGGAGATCTGCTCCAATTTAATTTAGTAAACTTAAGGAAAATCTTCTAACTTACTAACAATATTCTTCTATTGTCCAAATGATATAAATCTTATATTATATACAGGTTGTCAACTTACAACCATTCATTTGGTCACCCAAGTTATGACTATACTGAAAAAGTGATTTATGACTAGCTCTTGCACTTATGACTGTCAGTGTCCCTGATGTCACGTGACCGTGATTGGGGCACTTTGGCAACCATTGTGCATTTATGACGATCACAGTGTTGCACAGTCATGTGATCACTATGTGTAACCTTCCCCAATGGCTTCTAACAAGTGAAATCAATGGGAAAACCAACAGGGAAGGCCACAAATTGCAGTCATGTGATTTCTCACTTAACAACTGCAGTTATTTGCTTAAGAACTTCATCAAAAAAGGTCATAAAATTGGGTGTGAACTTATGATGCTTCTCTCAGGCATACCTGTATATAAATTACCTATTACAGTTTCAACTAAAACATGCTTAGTCTGTCAATGCTGCTAACATCGGATGTTTTTGCTTTGACAACATATGGAGATGCAACCATTTTCCTTCTTATGTTTTACTCTTAGAATTAGAGTTAGAATTAGATAATACTGGGGGGGGAGGAGAAATGTGCATGGGAGTTTAGTTAGACATAACAATACTGTAATTAGTGTGAGAACCAAGGTTTTTGAAATAAGAGATGATAAGAATTGGCGGGTTGGAGAACTGGATGAAAAGTCTGCATTTCAAACTAATTGGAGAATGTGATTTATGACTGTAAATTAGCGGAGGAAATTGTGCTTTGAGACTATGTGCTCAGGGGAGGAAAATTCAGATTTTGGCTTTGGCTATGTAAGTGCTGATGCTATGCTTCTCGAATAATGATTCTTTAAGGTAAACAATGCCTCGGAGTTCTTTGAAGAGTTTCATCTGTCGGGAACCATGACACAGTCATTGTATGATTAAATAGTACTTTGAACTGAGCAGAAAAGGCTTTTATCTTAGGTGCTTCTTTGCAAAGAAAAATATCTAAAAGCATTTGGCATTCACTTCCTGCCACATGCTTTAAGAAAGTGAATTACTTACTGCCTTCCCACGTACAATGTAAGAGATTCAGAGCCCCCTCGACTCTTTTCCAGTGCTGAAGGTGAAAGAAAGCATAAGCAATCGCTTCACTGTCGCCTCGCTTTAAAATATGTTCAGGAGGTAATATTAAGCTTTTCATTTCTAGGAGATACTACAACAGAAAAACAGCAAGCATACAGTCATAACACAGGCACAAAAAGGAAAGATCATTATACTACAGCCCACCTGGCACTGCAACTTTCTCAAAAGCTGCAAAAGTTTTATTAAATCTATATTATCACCCATTGCTTTGATAATAAATTGCTTATGTATCATAAATACTAAAATATACCAGCAAATGGCAAGTGCCATGTTCTTCAGTTCTTTGCAGATAGCAGAAAATAATAAACATCTCTCTCCTTAAAAAGATACAAAAAAGGTTATTTTTTAAATCCATAGCATTATCAAAAAAACCTTTTGTACTGAGTGTATAAATTGAGTGTGTGAAATAAGTATATATAAGACATTGCAAGAACATACATTGGGTTAATAGTTTTCTACAGAATATAGGCCAGGGTAAAATTATGCATACAGCAGACCTGCCCCAATCTGATCCCTTAGGAAAGAAAGACCATCGACTCCATTTGGTTGAAGTGAAAGTTTCTTTTACTAAAAAGCTGCAGTAAAGTCAGACTAGGTCTGGGTTTCCTGCGCTCAAAAGATACAGAAAGGTTTCCCCTCATACCAGCCCTTCCCCCATGACCAGTCTGTCTTCAGCCAATTGAAACTTGCCGAAGTGTTTTGAGAATGCTGAGATGTTTTGAGGTAATCCACATTCTTTTTCATGGCACCTGGCCTTGGATGCTGGTACAAACTGATTCCGAGCTTCTCTGATCTTTATCACCTGTTATTCCCCCCTCCCTGTTTCCTATCACGTACACACACAGCTTTATTGTCTATCTATCCTCCTCCCATTTCTAGCCTTTGATGGCAGGATGCCAATGAGGCACCAAGCCGAGCCTGGCAGACCTGACATTCTGCCCCCCCTTGATAAAGATGTTAGTCCTAGAAAGGAATAAAAAAAGAGGGGAGGAACAGAAAAACAGAAAGTCTCTAATTAGCAGATAGTTCAATAAGGTTTATCTCAGTACTGTACATGGAATTTTTTAAGCAGTCTAGAGGCTTTAATATGTTGGGAATCAACCCATTCAGTCTCCGAGGGAGGGAAGTCTTTCCATGCTATTAAGTACTGGGTTTTCCTCGATGTATACGGGAATCCAAACTGTTCTTGACTTCAAAGTGTTGCTCTCCCTCAATCATAATTGGATAAGGGGGTGGTTGAGACTTAGTGTGTAGGGAAGACCTGATCTCTGGTTTCAAAAGATTGCAATGAAACACTGGGTGTACGATCTGAATTTTATTGGCAGCTCAAGTTCTATGGTCACTGGGTTAATAATGGTTTTTATGGGGAAAGGACCAATATATTTCAGCCCCAATTTTTTGGATGGTTGTCTAGATTTTAAGAATTTGGTAGATAGATAGGCCTTATCTCCCACTATAAAGTCCTTGACTTAATGACTTTTTATTGGCATATTTTTATATGCTTCCCTAGCTTCATCCAAAGTTTTTTTCACCACAAGCCAGGTATTCTGTAGTAGGGTGACTGACTCTTTTAGAGATGCAGTTGATGGGGGGGGTTGAGGCAACTCAGGGATAGATACAAAGTCCTGTCTTGTGGCCACTTTAATGAGTGAATCTGGTGCTGTGTACTGAGTTATTGTAGACGACCCCCACAAAAGGGAGAAGGTTTGCAAAATTGTCTTGTCTGCCCAATTGTCTTGTTAGTAATTAATGTAACACCTGAGGTACTGCTCCAAGACCCCATTCGTAGGTTCACAGGCACCATTAGTAGTTGGATGATGGGAGGAGCTGAGCCCCTGAGTGGTTCCAAGAATTTTAGGAACTACTGCCAAAACAGTGAAATGAATTGGACTCCACAATCTGATATTATTCTTTCTGGAGCACCATGCAACCGGTAGACATGCTGCACAAATAGCTTAGCCAAAGTGCGAGCGGAGAGGATTTTTTGACAGGGTATAAAGTACATTTGTTTGGAAAACAAGTTGATCATCACCCAAATTACTGTATTGCTCGAGCTTTCAGGCAGTTCTACTATAAAGTACATTGATATCTCTTTCCATGGGGCTTTAGGTTGGCTACAAGCAGCAAAATGAAAAGCAGACAAGTAGACCAGCTCTTTATAATTCCTCTCAGGGCAAAGAGAGGACATGAGTTCGCACTCAAATGCTCCACATAGTTGATCCTTGTGAGAATACCACAAGACACCAGTGGATTTAGAGCTCTAAGAGATAAAATAGACATCTTTTTTATTAGTGCCTTCAACAGATACTAGGTTTGCACACATCCTTTCTTAGTCACTTTTAGAAATTGCTTGTTAATTACTTTTAAGGAACCTTTGGATCAATACATTTTACAGCACTGGGAAAGTCTCCTTTAATCCTTAGTGAAAGAATTTAAAGGTCTTAAAAATTATTTTGAAATAAATAGCAAATCAGAATTTTAATTTTGTAAAATTACATACTAAGGTAAATTTGAAATAAATTTGAAATAAGATTTTGGATTTAATTATAAGAATATTTACTGTGAGAAAATTATGTTTTGAATTCTCTTAAAAAACAATACAAGATAGACTTTAAAGGTTGGACACTAGAGGGAACCATAAGAAACTAAAGATTACAATTAAAAGCAAAAGAACACTTAAATTTGATTTTTTAATATAGAATGGAGTAAAATATTTTAATATTTGACATATTGAAGAATATTTTTGAACAATAAAACCAAAGGTTAATTTTAAGTGTGTCTGCCTCTATAGATAGACTGCATTTAAAAGATGTTATGGAAGAGGAAAAAATTTTTCCTGAAAAGATCAAGACTGAGTTGAAAGTGGATTTACAAATAACAGACCACAAGAGTGACGAAAAGTAAAAATGTTACACTGGACATAGAAAAGAAACCAGCTGATGTCTTAATCATTAAAATAACAAATAACAATCCAAGAGAATAACTTGGATAATTTTCCTACATTGGATTTACAAAAGAAGCTTGTGAAAGCTTTGAATTTTTTTGTGACAATGGACAAAGAAAAAATAAAAAGGAATAAAATTCTAGAACATTATTTGAAGGAACTAAATATCAAGATTCTTAGAAGCAAAAGGAGGAATATATAGTTGATTTATTTGATCAAGGTTAAAATGTTATTATTTCTGGTGACTCTTAATGGACTTGAGCTGACACCAGGACCATAATGATGAGGCTTTAACAATTGATATATATGTAAGAGATGGCATATGGGAAGAAGAAATCATTAGTTGTAAGAGAAAGTTATAAGTTACTAAAAATTTCATAACTTGTTATAAAGGGGAAATCATTTCTTTCTATATTCCTTTTCTTTTCTATTTCTTGTTTTCCACACTTTTTATTCTTTTTTCTTTTTTGTATTAGTTTATATTTTTTGTTACTTTTACTAACATTACTATTAAAAAAGAGAATTGAATTAGTGTGTTCGTTTTTAAACAGATCTTTCAAAGGTCTTTAAATTATACTTCAATTTAATCAAACCTAAATGAAACATCTTAAAAACTCCTGTAATTTATATAGAAAAGTACAACATGATGTTCTGTTGTATATCCATTCCAATAAAGGAACTATTCAATTATTGTTATCAAATTTATTTGCCATCATTCTTGCAGTTTAAAATGACTCTAAGCGGTTTACAATAAATTGCTTTGAAGAAAATCTACCCCAGATCAGAAACCAAATCAACTCATAGAATTTGTGTCTTAAGTTTATATCTGAGTCTCTGAAAAAATTGTTTTCCTTGGGCTTCACATGAGACTTGGAACTGTGTTTCTTTAATAAACTTTCACCCAGCTCCCACTTCTCGGAGGAGAAACTGGAGGAAATGCACCATCCCTTAAAAGTGGTTTCTCCCGCTGCTACACAAAAATTTTGGTTCATTGTAGTTAGGAAAAAGATCAGGATGCCATAATGAAACATATTTGGCATTTGTGAAGGCACATGTCAGAAGTGGCTTCCAAATTAAGCAGATTATTAATGCAACAATCTTTTTATTTGATTATGATAAAATAATAAAAATATCACTTAAAATTATCAAAAGCAAATAAATAAAAGGATAATTTTTTGAACCTTTGAAATAAAATTACAATTTAGGGCTATATATAGGTGAAAAAAGGAAAAGTATTAAAAATGAATATAAATAGAAAACAAAATAAAATATTTAGCAGGATTTTGACAGACTGGTTTTTTATTATTTTTTTAAATTTAAATTTTTATGCCACCCATTTCACTATCCAAAATGATTCTGGGTGATTTAAAATACCAACTATATTATAACAGTTCCTATAATTTAATAGAAAAACAAATTACAAGTTAGGTTTAAATTCATAAATTAACAGAGACTAAAGCACAGATTGCATTTTCAGAAACACACATTCAAAAACAAAAAAATGTCTATATATTTTATGCTGTCTCTAATGGGCTTAGTGATTAACTAAGCAAATAAGTGACGGAGTGATTTGTTATACAGACTCAGTAACTATTCTAATTACTTACAAATAAATAATTTATAATTATTTGCAATGTTATACCTAAATAATGTAATAAATAATGACATTTCTATGATAGCTAGATTGCAACCAGTTCCAAAGTTTTAATCATTATTAAAACTGATTTTCCTTTTATTTTATAGTAATTGTTGAATATATTAAAGGGCAAATGTTTGAACTTGATGTGCATTGTGCATTGCATATTGACATCTAGAGTGGCCCCTTCATTGTTGTTTTTTGTCTTTAAAGAAAAATGGCATATTAGGTACTTCTCACCACATTTATTCTCAGTGTACTTGCTGCTTATATATACAGTATACAGTATGCCACTCATTCCTACAATACCAGGTGGTTTACACAGATGAAATATAACAAAATCTATCATGATAACATGAGTGAGTGTCTGGGTGAGAAGACATTTTTGAGGCTTCTTTTAAACTATATTATGGATCAAATACGGAAAAGGAAATAGTGTTAATGAAGCACAGAAATATGCCCTCTTCTTTTTGCAATATGAAGGCCAGCATGAAAATGCAAGTAATTCTCAGACAGCTAAGAATAAGGACATATAAAAGGAACAACAAGGAAACCTTTTAAGGACAGCTTTACAAGTAAAATTCAGAACAACTCACATTGTGAAATTCTGACTCTTACTTATGTAACATGAATAAGGGAGCAGAGGTTTTAAATTTATATTTTGACATTCTAGCTGAATTGACAATCCACCTGATAGAGTTTTACATTCTGATTAAAAGAACAAGGAAATGAAAAAAAGGATTATTCATCACTTGTGAAAAGTCTTAATAGCTAAAGCAGGAAAGTCCCATAAAAGGTTTCAAAGAAGAGGAGGAACCCAGGAAGTATTACTCAAATTCAAAAAACAGATCCTGAAGTTTAAAAAGTTCTTAAAGAGATGGGAGTACCAGACCATCTTATTTGTCCCTTGAGAAACCTATATGTGGGTCAAGAAGCAACAGTGAGAACTGGACACTGATTGGTTCAAAATTGGGAAAGGAGTTCAGCAAGGCTGTATTCTGTCACCCTGCCTATTTAACTTATATGCAAAGCACATCATGAGAAAGGCAGGGCTAGATGAATCAAAAGTTGGAATTAAGATTGCCGGGAGAAATATCAACAACCTAAGATATGCAGATGATACCACTCTAATGGCAGAAAGTGAAGAGGAACTAAAGAGCCTCTTGATCCGGGTGAAGAAGGAGAGTGCAAAAGTTGGCTTGAAACTCAACATTAAGAAAACCAAAATCATGGCATCCGGCCCTCTCAATTCCTGGCAAATAGATGGGGAAGAAATNCCAAGATCACCTCAGATGGGGACTGCAGCCAAGAAATTAAAAGACGCTTGCTCCTGGGGAGGAAAGCTATGGCAAATCTAGACAGCATACTAAAAAGCAGAGACATCACCCTGCCAACAAAAGTGCATATAGTCAAGGCCATGGTTTTCCCAGTTGCAATGTATGGATGTGAAAGTTGGACCATAAGAAAGGCTGAGCGCAAAAGAATTGAGGCCTTTGAACTATGGTGCTGGAGAAGACTCCTGCGAGTCCCTTGGACTGCAAGGTGTTCAAACCGGTCAGTCCTAGAAGAGATCAACCCTGACTGCTCTTTAGAAGGCCAGATCCTGAAGTTGAAACTCAAATACTTTGGCCACCTAATGAGAAGGAAGGACTCACTGGAGAAGGGCCTAATGCTGGGAAAGATTGAGGGCAATAGAAGAAGGGGACAACAGAGAATGAGGTGGCTGGATGGAGTCACTGAAGCAGTAGACGTGAACTTAAATGGACTCCAGAAGATGGTAGAGGACAGGAAGAACTGGAGGAATGTTGTCCATGGGGTCGCGATGGGTCGGACACGACTTCGCAATTAACAACAACAACTGATGCAACAGAGTGACAAGGACAGAAGACAGACCTGGCAGGTTGCATTACAGAAGAAAAAGAAAAAATGCAATCGCACAGAGATTATTTACAATATATGTATTAAGCAAGTGAGTTTACATATGCTTGTCCAATGCAAAAGCTTCAGCATCAAGCAAATCTCACATGGAAGCATTAGATGTATGTTTTATTACTTCTTACTGCAAACACAAGATTTATCAAACAAAGTAGTTCACATTTTAGCTGTAACAATAACCATCCAAGAGAGGATGGAATCCAGTATGAGCCAAGATCTTGAGAATGGAGAAATTTGTGATCTTGAAAGTCTTCTAAACACCTCTAAATCCAAAATGCTTTGGGAAATTAAGATAAAACTTGATTTCCAACTACAATTTATTCTCTTATTATTTGCCATATTTTGTCCATCCCTATTTCATTTCTGATCCTACGATAGTTAAAATAAAGTCACATCCTTTCCTGGTCACATTCTCCTTGTTTTGCCAAAATTCCTCTCTGAAAAGTAGCTTATTACGACTTTGGCTTCCAATAATGGCAGCTGATCAGTGACCCAGCAGATACGAAGCAACTATGGGATTGCATTTTCTTATCTCTATTGCACACTTTAAATCTTATGAGTAAGCTAAGAGCTATCTAAAACTCCGCTGACAAGCTCACCCATATTTATTCAGAAGAAAAACCAAATGAATTGAATTTTATTCCGAACTTAATGCTACATGTCAATAATCAAAAGCTGTGTACATATTTCTGTCAGCATTATATTTGATTAAAGGCATGTCAAGAAATGTAAAGGACATCTGAAAAATAAAGTTTTGAATGAGAAGAAAAGAGGACAAAAGATGGAGGCAAAAGAGAATTTTGTTCTACTGTAAGTGACTGTATTGGATATTTTTTTCATAGAAGGAGACACCATTTGGCAATTAAGTTGCTACTTAAATTCATTGTGATTCTTCTACCAAATAGTAGTAGAGATTCACAACAACTCACTTTTGGCACATGTGGATTAAATTCTACTGCTCTGTGAATAGCTTCCACTGCATTCATTTCTGCTGTGCTGAGACCTCTTCTCGAAGCTGCCTCTGGAGAAAACCTATACAGAACAAAGAGAAGAGAAGCATGGAGATTAATTTTGGCATCACAAAGAAGCATAAAAGGAAGAACTAAGTTAAAGGGGTCTTTGAAATCAGCTGAGCCAGTTCCCTTAGCTTTTATCAAACCTCCATGTCAAAAAAACATCTGAACAACTAAATTATAGAGATATTAAAAATCGCAGCAGAACTCAAAAGCATGTTTGAAACTTATCAAGAATGTTCAAGCAGTCCATGTTCTATTTCTGTCTGCCTGCTAATCTAAATTTATTCTATGTTTGCTTTTAAAATCTGGACCAAAATCTCTGGGCTGGGAGGGGGGCATGGGAAGGTGTAAGAAAAAAAATCCCAATAAATTTATAAATTACATTTTAGCATGGCTTCAGGACTTCTCAACCCAATGAGACAAGTTGAGTTGAAAGCCTGGTGCAGCAGCAGTAGCAGATCTGCTCCAAGCTGCATCCATTCCTGACCATGAACCCATACTGAGGGCAAATATTATCTGCCCCAGAGAGTGGAAGATGGGGAGAAAAATACCCAGACCATGCAATCTCTTTCTCACCTCACACCCCACGGCTAACTCCATAGCTGTACTTGGCAGGCAGCCACCACAGGGAAAGCTGTGACAAACGTAGCCCTGCCCTCCCAAGCTGGAGTCGCTGTGTAGGGAGGAAAGATGTTGCAGTTGGTACTGGCGATCTACAGGACAAAAAGAATGAAAGAAAAAAAAATTACTCAGGTCTTGAAGTGCACATACACTACAATAGCAAACTCTCTGAAAAAAGCAGGAAGGAAAGCAGACTTTCCCATGCAGCCTGCTCCCCACCCACTTGGCTGAACTCAGAAAGCATGGCGATTATGGGATATCTACTGCTTGGGATCGGCTCACTTCCACCTCTGATCAGACCCTGGCTCGGGTCTGGTGCTGTACTTTGACAGCAACCATATGAGAGGGCCAGACACTTTACAGAGCTGCACATAGTTATGTTTTACATACAAGTTAAAAGGCCATCACTTGCCTGCCAGGAATTCTTATGCAGTAAGCACTTGGTCTATCTGCCTCAAATAAAGTTTAGCCCCTTCCCAGTCCAACACCACACTTATTATTCTGCTGGTAAAGCTATGTTGCCAGAATTACATTTATTGTATTCAAATTTCTTTTGCTTGCAGAAAGCAAGCGGCTAGCTGTTTTTTCCAATTAAACAGTATGGAATTCATTGCCCCCACAGTATCCATTCTTGGTAGTAAATATATTGCATACTTATGGCAGGCCTAATGTTTTCCTGCCAGGATGAATAACCTTCAACTATGCAAAGTGTTTTGCCACATTTACAGAGTAAAATTTCAGCAGGCAGGAATTCTTCCAAACTTACTTGTCAGAGACAGCTCTAGCTTTGAGAAGGGCAGCTGTGTAGCATATTGTTGCTGATTTTGGTAAACTTATATCTGTTGGAAAGAAAATAAAATTAAAAATGTATGGTTCTTCTATGTCTGCACCGGAGATTGATTATTACAAGTGGGCAGTAGAGAAAATGAAAGGATAAAGAATAAGATATAGACAGCTATCAATACTCAGTAGAAGTTAATTTGATGAAATGGGAAAACCTTTTATGAAGTATCAGAAAATCAAAATCATGGCATTTGCCTAAAGGCCCAAAAATCACTCTTGGAGGATAGATGGCAATAAATTTGAGCAGGTTTCCTGTTTTAAAAATCTTGAGTAGTCCTACATTCTGACAATACTGGGACTCCCTACAGTGACTGTGTTGCTGAAAATGCTTAAAGGAGTTCATCTACCATGTTTAAATTCCTTAGGAAAAGGAATTACAATTACATTATATTCAAATTATTTAAAGGCAAGCCAATAACACAACGTTTCTATGATGCCCAGCTGGGTCCCTTTTTTTAATTTTGCACCATTAGAACTTGTTCCAGTCCAAATTACTAAGATCAATCCTTCAAGCCCCAAAATGTATCTCTAATGCTATCTTAAGGCTAGAGACAGGCCTCATGAAAGTAGAGACTAGAGTGTAGGTAACCATACCAACTACTAGCTTAAAAGATCCCTTTTCCCTGTTGGCCTTGCCCCACTAACTACGGTATGAAGATTTTTTTTCAGTCCACATGGAAAAAGACTGAGACATCTAAAATCACATCCTTGGGATTTTCTCCAGGTCTTTACTCAGTATGGGACATGATTGGGCCAAAGCTTTCATCAAACAACATGTAGCATACACAGAGCTGGACCTTATTAAATGCTAAGATAGATAGCATGAATATATTTCTCCAGATATATTTTAAAAATTAAATAGTTTGTTGGTTTATAAATAATGTGTATCCAGTAACTAGTTACCATTCTGCAGTCTTCCTCAACACAGAGCACACAATTCCAGTGTAGGCAAAGGAAAACACCAAATTTGGGAAGGCTGCAGTATTGTATTTATCTTTTCATAACATGGGTCCACAATTTTCAGATGCCTTATGGATGAAGGACACTGGGTAATAAATGTTTGTTGCTCCTGCGTGTGGTACTGTAGCCTACTTGAAATATCAACAGTGTTCACGAATCAGTGCACACTGATACATAAAGCTAAGGTTTCCATTCTTTGGTTTCTCTATCCTTGTTCCTTCCTCACAGGGATGACTCAGACACTGGAAGTGAGCCAGGCTGGCAGAATAATTAGAAGTCACAATCTACACATAGGGTAGGTGGATAAGGGTTCAGATTCCTTCATCTATGATTTCTTAAACTAAGATGCATATCCTTATCTATCTTATGAGACTATATATAAATTCACAGAAAAATGTAATATGTTTAGCATGATTGTGGTTTAAGTATAGTCTCCATTAGTCAACTATTCTTAAGGTTCTTTGAAATTTAAGAGGAGTAATGCATTTTAAAGCTCGTTGGCATCTGTGGAGCATGTGCAGATATCTCCAGAGACAAAAGCAAAAAAGAGGCCAGAGAAGCAAGCAGATATCAATCAATAGATCTTTTTTCCATTTACCAAAATAGAATATGCTTAATCAATCTCAAACCATCAGTACTTAGGTTTAGTCCTTGAATCAAACCGTCCAATTTGTGCATCCAAACTGCTGTAACTTCACTGTTGTTGCCCTTATTATTTATTTAACCAATTGATATTCTGCTCTTTTCATATTCACAGCAAATAGACAAGATTAAATGGTCAGTTACCATCATCAAAGTCCTAAATGTCAGGCAAACATAATAACCACAAAAGAAAAAAAAACATAAACAAACAGAGAGAAGCAAGTAGTTTCCAGGTTCAGAACTCAAATACCATAGCAAACATTACCAAACATTACACGAAACAGCCTACTCTATCGCATCCCATTGAGATTTTAATAGAATAGTGTCTGAACTACAGTTGGACCTCTCCATTCAGTGTGTGGTTAATCTAATGGTCACTCTCAGTTTTGCCTCACTAAGCAAACAAACTAATACCCAGTCAGGTTTTAGGCTTTCAAAACTCCATTGGGATCATGGAAAAAAAATGATCCACTGATATTCAAAAAACACATCAAATGTTAATTTCTTATTTATTTTATCTGCAAACCAGACTTTATATAAATTTATGCATTGTAATAATTTTAATCTGGGACACCAGATTGCTGAAACTTGCATATTTTGGTATAATGTGTAGTTTGTCAAGGAAAGACTCAATGACTCACTTTGCAAATGGGGTGAGGAAAAAACTGTTTGTTGAATCAGAGACCAGAAGTAACTGATTCGTAAATTTCTGGACATTAGCTGCTGGGAAAAAAATTAAATGAGGGAATTCTTGTCCTCACATGTTGCTTCTGATTTTTTTTTCCTGTGTGGCCATCATAGAAACAAAATGCTTAACTTGAATTCTTTGCAGTTGGAATATTGTATCAGACACCAGAAGCAACATCTGAAGTTGTGGCTTTATATTCATCCTACACAACTCTTATAATAATATCAGGGCTGCAAAAAATTCATATGACCAATAAAAAGTAAATAAAATTGGGGTTTCAATACATTTTTGCTGCCATCAAGAGGTTGCCTAATCTGATAGACCTAATATTTTAAATGTTTTAGATTATTTTAACTATAATAAAATGTGCATACATACAGATAGAAATACTGTATTGCTGTTGTATTATATTAAGTCTTCTTGTTATGTTTCACGAAAAAAGCTTTTTGTGCATTTGGGAAACTTTTACAGGGATGATATTGATGACTGGAGTGCAAAGGCTGTGTCAGGTACATTGAAAAGACTGGAATTTCTCTTAGAATATGGGATTTCTATTGAATCAAGACTGTTCAACACTAATAATATTTATTAATCATGAATGGAAGCTCAGTATTTTATAAGTAATGAAAAATAAGGGGCACAATATAAAGTACAGTGATACCTCAGTATTCATCCTTAATTGGTTCCAAGAGGTGTGACAACAATGAGTACCAAACATTTTTTTCCCATAAGGAATAATGTAATGAGTCACAAGGCAGCTGACATTGACAAGTTCTAGCTTGGGCATTGAGAACCAAACAATGGGTACAGGAACAAAGTTTCATGTCAAAATGTGTTGAGTACCAAATTAGATAAGTTTCAAAGCAATTGAGTACCAAGGTACCACTGTACTAATTTTCATGCTCATCACCATTAAAACAGCTTATCACCCCTCTGCAAATGGATGGAAGTATTTGATTGGTCTGTACAAGCACCTACTGGATCTTCTGTCTTCCAAGAAATTTCTTCTGAGATTTTGCTGGGCATTTCCAAAGTCCTTGGCCAATCAACTGAATATATGGGCAACCATTGCTTTGGATAGAATTGCACCTGTGCAATTGTTGATACACTTGCAGACCTGATTTACCAAAGAACTCTGAGAATTGAAGTGGCAAAAAAGATGCAGAGAGGAATGTTGGTGGAAGACAAGATTGGACAATGGATCTGTCCAATCATGGGTAAAGCTTATTTTTTTTTCTATACCTTTATTCTGTCCTGAGATTGCTGATTAGCAGCCTTTTCTGAAGTGTGCCCATATCTTTTAGGAAGAATGACAGAATATTTGCTGGATGACTGTAAAGGATTTGCAGTATAGCTCAATGATAAAACAGTTTATTTAGATCCATGCAGAATTGGACATTAGCTAGTCATATTCAGCTGAGATGAAAATATTTCACCTTGTGAAGCTATCTGGGAAATTGAGTCTATTCATCCTGAAGAAATGGACATGGTCTTGGTAATACCATCAGTGCATTGTGATTAGATACCTTCACTAACGGCTGGTAAAAGCCACTAGGCTGATGAAAGGTTGCTGGGTTAGAATGACAGCAAATGCATCCTTGAGAGAAGAGGTAGTGTTACTGACCTTGAAAACTGCACTGTTTTCATTGCTTGATGGTTTTCAGATAGCTGGCAGAACCATCACCCAGTCTTGAACCTTCCTTTTATAGCAAAGATTATTGAGGAGGGGCTAGAGCTGAGATTGGAAGGCTCTAGATGAGATGGATTATTTGGACTCTTTTTAGATGGGTTTCACGCTAGGGTACCTTATCAAGAACACACAAATTGTTCTAGTGGGTGATATATGGCAAGATTCCTAGTCCTCTTCAACTTCTCAGTTGCCTTTTATCACATCATTTTGAACTGTCTCTGGGACTGGAAAAGGAAACATAATGTTATAGATTCTCTGGGACCTATTTCAATTGGTGGTGATGGGAAGGGAAAGGTCAAGTCCGAAAGGTCCCACAATGTTCAACTTTCTCTGCTCCATAGTTTAAGCAGCAATGGTAAGTGATTCATCAACACAGGGTCAAATATCATGATGCCCATTGCTCATCTCAATTTCAGGCCAAACAGAATATATGGTCAAAGCACTGTCCTAGTGCTTTGGGATTGTCAGGGTTTGGATAGGAATGAACAAATTCAGGCTTACTTCCTGCAAGATGAAGAAGCTGGAGGCATATTCATTTGCAACTGTAGGTTGTGGTAATCTTTATTATACAATTGGAGTCTTTAGAGCAGTCTATGAATAAAAATGGTTTCCAAGCCATTAAATAAATAGATAGCATGAATTTTATTAAATTTTAAAACCAGAGTTTACTAAATCTGTCTGACACTTCTAGTTCATTGTTTTGATTTTGTTACAAGGAAGTGCCCTATTTATAAACAAATAATATGTAATTACATAGCCAATTCATATGGTGCACCTGGCAACAAGTCAAGATCAACAGGGAAGCAATGCCTACAATAAGATATGTACTGTTACTAGAAAACATAATTAAGGTTTTGTAGTTCAGCAATTGTCACTTTGTCACTTCTATGTAATCCATTCCATTAGTTTGTGTATCTTTCCACACACCCTTTTGCTACCTAAAAAGCCAGAACTTCTTTTTTTCTTAGAATATTTTTGCTATAAAAGCAATGTCTTTCAGAACAAAGGCAGTTAAAATCCTTCAATAGTAAATCAAAATAGATGTCTGAAGACAACTGAAAAATGCAATTAGGCAGGGTCCTCCTCCCCATACTTTTTGTTCTAATGTGAAATTCTGAGGACTAGTTGTGCACTTTCTAGCAAAATGTCTATTTTCAAAAGGTCCTGGTTCAGGACATCGAGAGGCAAGCGGACTTAAGTATGGCTCTGCTGTTTCTCGCTCTAGATTCTATTAGATATGTGGTTACATCTACCAAGTATCTTAGCCAGTTGGAGTCAGTAAACCACCGGAAAGCATTCTCGCTTGTATGGTGCCATGCGTTTCCATTGGCCGTCCTGTATGGCAAGTATAAAAAGACACCATTGGCTGAAAGATTCTGCTCCTGTGGCTCAGGAGAGGTGGAGACCATCGGACACATACTCCTTCGATGTTCCTTCTACAGAGTTATTCGGAAAAAACATATCCTCTCCATAATTGGTAAGTATCCTGGTCGTTCGGAAAGTATTTATCTCCAGTGGCTGCTTAAGGATGAGCAGGCAGTGATCATGGCGCAGATGGCTAGATTCTGCGCAGCAACATTGGGGATTCGCCAGAAACATAAATAAACATTTTAGATCTTTTTAATAATCTTTTATAATTAATTTTATTATGTGTTTTTATCCAGCATTAGACTATACTCAGTGTATTTTTGTCAGGTCAGTATAATTCAGTTTTTCTGAAGGTAGCTAGTTTTTGTTATGTAAAACTAGGCAGACCTTGGTCACCCATTGATTACATCATTAATTGTAATATATTGCTATAACTTCTTGTGTTGGTTCTGTTTAGTTTGGTTTTATTTGAATGTTTAATTTATGTGTTGGCCTTTGGCTGCAATAATAAATTGATTGATTGAAAGGTCCTGGTTCATATGGGGGACATTTATCAAAATGCAATTCCCTCTAGTGCCTTATATTGCTGCAGATTTTTCTCCAATCCTAAGTTCAAGCACTTAATACTTCAAGCATTTAATTTCTACGAAGTCTTATGAAGCCCATTTATGGACCAGGACACTCTTAGAAAAAAAAAGTTATGCCTAAGGTACTTTTCATGTTGCAAATTCTTTATTATTTTACAAAATATAGAATGTAAAAAAAATCAAGTGGGACAGCAAATATACAGGTGACATATGGGGACCTCTTTTCCTAGAACCCCTAAATGCCATACTGAGGATCACAGCAGTTGGATTTCTTAGAATGCACACAGCAAATTTTGGAGGAGTTTAATGTCTTGTAGAGTACCATATATGTTGAAGAGAAATCTTGCTGAAAACAGGTTTTATGTTAGTGGAACAGGCACCAAAGAATATCTTAGAAGGCTACTTCAACTAAGAAATGTAAAGAAATATTAAATTAGTATGCTTAGAGGAGATTGACCTAGTGCCCCAGTGGCACTTATGGCACTATTTCTCAGTCTCTTAAAAACATTTTAAGTTTTAAGCCTTTATTTTAAGTCTTTTTCTATTTATTCAAGCCTGTGGCAATTCTTTTTTAGCAGCAACCTCACACAAAGTATGTCACAGTGTGCTGCTTTGTAAGGGTCTTTGGATTGAAGTACTGATCTAACACTGGCAATAAAGATAAGGAACAATGTACTAATTTACATACTGCTCAAAAACCTCATTTATATGCCATCCTACAGCAAAAGATTGATGGGTGGCTTAGCATAAAAATGGATACTTTCAAGTTTTTAAAAATGGGTTATTTTAGATGTCCTTTAAAAATTTAGCTATCCAAGAAGAATGCAACAGAAAGAGAAATTGTTCTGGCCAGAAGCAATTTTAGATTCCACATTTGTAGTTTCTGCAGTTAGCAATTTTGGAGGGTGCTGGAAGAAAATGACTCATTCACTTATTTTCTTCCTCCAAGGCTTCCTGAAAACTCTTATCTGTACCTGTTTTCAACAGTTTGAGTAGCACTTCTAAAGTAAGAAAATATGGAAGAAATAAATAGTTCTTGCTTAGGTCCTATAACTTCACCTTAGGTTCTAATGAAATTAGAAAGGTTTTTTGTAAAACAAAAAGGTACAAAGTCACTGACAAAAAAATATTTATACCTCACAAACTCATAAAAGAGTTAGTAAAACTGAAGTTCACCAAGAAAAAAATAGAATGATGAGAGGAAGGAGTAACTGTCCTTCGCTACTACAAGATTTAAAAACTAGGTATCATAAATTAAATGAAATTATTTGGAAGCTACAACTTACTATAACTGCTTAAGAAAATCCTACAATACAAAGAAAAAAAATTCAGAACATGGACCTTTCCCTCCTTAAACATGATTTTGTTAAAGGACATTGCTCTCCTTTGTTTTATATCCATACAGACACAGAGTATCAGGGTATATAAAGAGCTACTTCACTTACCATCATATTTTGCTAAAACAGCTTGAACATCTGCATATGCTTGTAACTCCAGCAAAGCTTCTAGCAAATTTTCATGGATGTTGAACATACTAAGAAGAGGGAATTCCTTCATCAACTATAAAGAAGGAAAGAAAGTAGGCTTAATATTTAGCAGGTATTTTACATGGCAAATATAAAATAAAATTATAATGACCATTCACATTTAATAATCTTATCCCGCCCTTCTCTGAACTTAGAACATGAAAACAATCCATAGACATATATGGTTGGTTTAATAAATCCAAGAAAAGCTGCATTAAAAACAATGAACTGAAATTTTTTAGTAAAGCAAGTACTAAGCTAGATGGATCAAAGAGACTAAGCTGAGGAACAACAGTTTTCTATCCTGCAACCAAGAGAATGGAAAATTGATGAGTTATGGCTTAACTAGGCTTCCATATATTATAACGAGAACCTGATTTGGATCAACTGGATATTCTGAAATGCTGGCAGGGTATACTTAGCTTTAAGATAAACTTTCTTTAAGCCCAATTTCTCATGCCTTATTAAGACATTTTCATATGATTTCCTGAGACTTCCGGTTTGCGTCACAGCGAGATGGGACACAGAAAGGCAGAGCTCTGCCTTTCATGCCCGATTTCGCCCTGCTTGGGGTCCTAAAAAGGTCCTAAAATCCCCCCGAAAAGGGGATGAAGAGGAGGGGTGCCTTGTTGATCACGGAGAGATGGCGGTGTTTCCATTCGATCCAAGGGAAGCCCTCCAAACCAGCAGGGGAAAGACCAACTACATTCCTATGGCCGGCCATTAGCTGCTGACAACCGAAGAAGAAAAAACCACTACTTAATAGATTGTAAACAGCATGTTTGGAACTGGGTGAGAATATTGATCCTTTCCTTACTATTTTACAACTGAATTTCCTGGCAAAGGCTCCCAAGAAGCTAAAACCTCTGAATATAAATGGAAGCGGCATTTTAATTTTATGTGGGATAGAAACATACAATATTGAAGTAACATAAAGCTACAGTTTTGATAAATTTGAGAACTGAGATAATTGTTAAGATTTTCTCTTTGAAAAAAAAACATTGAGGCGAAATATAAGAAATCAATCCTTTGTTTTAAGAGTGGAAAATGGACTTTGAATGACATCTAGTGGTGGATTTGTGTATAGCAACATAATTTGCTTCCTGGCTGCTTGGTGATTCCTAGCTTCGGAGAACAGCTGGCAATAAAGGAAAATATTTTGGTATACTTATCACCCTGACGTTCTTGGATTATAAATACCTACTGGGCTTGGACTTTTAACTTCAAGAGCTAGTGGGAGAGAAATAAAAATTTAACCTTGGACTGTGCCTGGCTGGGAGAGATTTTTGAGCTATTTTCAGACAGGTTGAACATTTTGAACACTTCGAACATTGTGGATTACAACCTTGCCTGGTTGACAATTTTTTGGATACTTGAGACAAAGGATTACTATAAAATATTGCTTTCAGAACTGAACCTATACTTTGGAATCTATTGGATTATAAAGGATACATATAAAAACCAGAAAACTAAAGGAAACTTTGATCTACTCTTATTGAGTCTGGTAATACTAAACTATCTCCAGGATTGATGCTTCAAGAAAAAACAAACACCTTTCAGAAAGAAATATATTTTATGCTACAACTAATTCACCAAACAATTGTTGAATACTAAGAGGACATAAAAAGAAATCATAATGAGACTAAAAACAATTTAGACAATATAAATGAGCTAATCTCCAAATTAAATCTACAACTAGAAAGTTCCCATATAACAACTACAAAGTATGAACAAATAATCCAGAAATCAGAAGATGAAACAGAGGAAATGGATTTAGAGATGGAAGAGATAAAAGAAGGGAAATATAAACAACTATATACTAACAAAATACTGCAAGACCTAACAATGAAAATGCAAAAGACCTTTTATCCCTTAGGTCTGCAAAATATATCTGATGGAAAGAAAGATGATTTTAAAAAGGGGAATATAGAGCTGTTAAGGGAAATGTCACAACTTAGGAGACAGGGAATGAAAAGAGAAATGGAGGGAGAAAAGGAGGTGGGAGTTATTTAAGGAAAATATAAATGGGTGGGTTTCCCCCAAAAAATATCCTACCTAAATTGTCTTCCTCATGCCAAGCAATTTTTACAAAAATAGAAAGAAAATTCCTGGGTGATCTAATTGCCCTGGCTTGGAAAGCGACTTGGCAAAGAAAGAAAGTGAGAATCAGATTTAAAATCAGAGGATTTGACCTAGAGGGGGCATTATATGTTTAAATAAGACTGAAAGAATAGATGACCCTTAGATATAATTAGACTTTTATAATGAAAGATATGATTTAGAATTAAGATAGCATTTTTTTCTCTTTTTTGATATAGGAGGGTTGATTTGAATAAAACTTTTAGCTATATAAATGCAATTAATATTGAAAAAATCATAACTGATAAAGATATTTCAAATATTGATGGGAAATCAAACCTTAACAAGAGCACAAAAAACAGGGTATTGATTAATGAATTGGCATTATTGATTTACAGATTGATATTATTATTTGTATGATATTAGTAAAATATGATGAAAAAACTGTAATGGTATAATGAGGGGAAAATGGAAAAAATATGGAGAAGAAAGGATGATCAGGGAAAAAATACTGGATTGTGTAGTATTGAACAGATTTATATTAAAGAAGCTAATGTTAAATATTTGAATCCAGACAACTGTTGTTCACTAAGCACTAAAGACTGTAATTTTTAAAAATCAATAAAACTTTTATAAAAAAAATAAGACATTTTCATATGATTTCCTGATAGGGAGCATAGGAAAGAGGTTAAAGATGTTTTATTTGTTTATTTGATTGATTGATTTCTATAGCTTGCCATCCCAGCCAAGTAACTCTGGGTGGCTTTTAAAACTATAGAAAAGTTAAAACAATTAATAAAACAATGAAAACATCCAAAAATTGTTTTTCGTAGTATTACATTCTACTAACATATTTCCTCATTATTTGTGGGTTCCAGAAGTCAATTAAAAATTAGAAAAAGGAAGGAGCAAAGGATTGAGAAATGATGGAAAGATCAAGAAGTGGATAGCATCCAAAACCCATCTGAAGAAATACATTCATAAAACAACTGCCATTAAAAGATTTAGCAAGAACCAACAAACTATAATTATATGGATGAGTAATGATAGCAAAATATAACTAAGCTGGCTTAAAAAATGTAATTATCAAAACACAGCAAGAATATGCTAAATTAAATTGATCCCATTCAAGACATATGGACATTTGTTCTAGGGATATATAATCATTTGTTTAATCATGCAGCAACAGTTCTTGTATTCCTAATTTTACTTATGAAGATCAGAAAGGAGTATTTTAATTTTACTAGCACATTAAATTGCATTCTCCAGAGCCATTTGTATCTAGAAAAGTCAAAGACTGACTAGATGAAATATGCATAATCCTTCTTATTCAGGGTCAATATATCTATACTGAAATATTCAAATTTTATCATTATTAACTTTCCAGGATTGAGTTAAGACATTGAAGCCAGCTCCAAAATTTACTTAAATATTGCTATGCTTATTATAGAAAATGTTTTAAAATGAAAATAAATGTCCTGTCAGGTCTTAAGATACCCGTATCACAAAACAGTGAGAAAAGAACAACCAAAACTGGACTGGAAAAACTACACTTTCCTAAATAGATGAATTGCAAAAACTCAATCTTTCACCGCTTGGTTAAAAAAATCCTCCAAGAGTTGGTCTAAAACAGGGGTGCATGAGGCTGGGAAATTCTGGACCACCTCAGTCCAATTGTGAAGAACTGTGATATATATAGGCTGCATTTGACAGGAGCACAAAACTATTATAACTTTTAAAGCAATTTCTATGCATGTAGAAATTTTTATGCTTGGGGTGGTGAGAAGGCAGGAGAATGATTAATGAAAGCCCATTTTTATTGCAGAAACAGAAAGCCACAATGATCTACTCTGAGTAAAAAACCAGAATCAAATGTTAAAATGCATGACATAAATGGTAGGTTGCAAATAATCTAACTGAAAGTGCTTCCCTTACTAAACTCTGAGATAGCAAATAAAATAAGGAATTCGTTGCAAATTAAAATATATATTTGTTTTGTTTTATCAATCTTTTTGTTCCTTATTTTAAAAGAAGACATGAAAAGAATAAGAAGAAAAGTACATTGTCTAGACGCGAAGACTTGAAAACCAATAACAATTTTATCAGAAAAGATCTCTTTTTAAAGTGCCTTGTTTACCTGATTAAAATGATTTTGGATTGTACAACAACCATCCCACGAGTCTTAAAATAAATGCAATAAAAAAGAACACCAACGTACTTCACATACTGAGCTACATTTGTCTTTTTTTGTAACATGGAATTCAAGATTTCACTGTTACCACAAAGCATTTCCCTCCATGCATGGAGAGGAGTTGAAATCTTTCAGCAGGAAAGGACTGCCTGTCAGGACAATTTCTAAACAACTAAACTGAATTACATGGTAGCCTTATAGGATGACAGTTATTGAAACTAAACTTTCTCTGTAAATTCTTACACAATAAACAATTATTTATTGTACCCTTGTTTAAAACCATAGGGAAATATACAACTTATTTTGCTATCTAGTTTGACATCCCAATCCCAAAACGGCATCTCTTTTTAGGCTTTGTCATGTAATTTGATTGGGTTTTTCCCCCCTACATTCTTACAAGGAGTTCCTGATTTTAATACACAATTGTTTTCTTTGGTGCTTTTTTCCGGGTTTCTCACTATATTGTTGTCACTGAGAATCATTATTCACACTTTGTCAATCTATATCATTGCTTGGAATGTAGATCTGAAAACAAGCTAGGTGTCAGAACCCATTCCTTTCCTGGGGGGATCTATTTCAGTTCTTTCCATTTCTTTCTGTGGGTTCACAGCATTTCCACTGATTTAACTTCACTCTAAAGCACTTACTGGGAGGAAAGAATTTCTTAGCTGATGCATTGTCCAGATTGCTTCAATACAACAGCAACAGAACAGAGATAACAGACCCACTCATGCCATCAAAACAATTAGCAGCGCAAGTCACCA